ATGCAGTTATTTTGTTGAAATCCTTCTGTTTGGATATATATCAGATGAATTGATAAGTGATTTGGTGGGTGTATTTCCAATTTTTGAGAGGCCAATATATTGATTTTCATAGCAATTGGACCAGATTACATTCTCTGTTGTATAGGATTCTTTTTAGAGATTGTAGTTTTGATTTGCATTTCCTTAATGATATTTTTTTGTTTTTCTTTTGTTTTAAAATCGCTGGAGCGATAGCACAGCGGTAGGGCGTTTGCCTTACAAGCGGCCAACATGGCCGACCCGAGTTCGATTCCTCCGCCCCTCTCCGGAGAGCCCGGCAAGCTACCGAGAGTATTTGATATGCCAGACACAGTAACAACAAAGTCTCCAATGGAGACGTTACTGGGTCCGCTCGAGCAAATCGACGATCAACGGGAGGGCCTTTACCTTTACCTTTTAAAATTGTACATGTTTAGGGAAATTCCATTCATTTTCCTGTTTTATTGTATGGGGTATGGATTGTATGGTGCATGTGGGTGTTTGAGTTTGTTTTTAATTATTGCTTGGGGTTGGGTCATGGGGTGAGCCAGGGTCTCCTCCATTTCTGTCCTGGATTAGGTCTCTCCCATATCTGGGGACTGAACCATTGTGGATCACATACAAGGCAAGTGCCCTAATCCCTGAACTATCTCCCTAGTCCTCAGCTTGTTATTTGTATTTAATCTTTTGATTTGGGGACTGCAGCTGGTGGTGCTTAGGGCTTATTCCTGTCTCTGTGCTCAGGAATCACTCTTGGTGGGACTTGTTGGACTCTGGGGACCATCTGATGCTGGGGATCAAACCTGGGTAGGCTGCATGCAAGGCAGTTACCCTGCTCTCTATGCTGTCTCTTCAGCCTTGAATTCACTATTTTGAATTAATTCTCTGAATGTATTCCTTTTAACATTTTGGTCTTCGTTTGGAGAAATATTTTTAGAGGCAGAGGTGAAGTTTTGCAGCTTGGTGGGAAGAGTGTACCATGTGCACTTTGTTATAGAATGAAAGGTGGATTAGAAGCACACCACGTTTCCTTTAGAATCCACTAAACATTTCATTTTTCTTATTAATGATAAACACAAATCACTGTCAGTGTCCTCCCGTTTTTCATCAATTTGCTCGAGCGGGCCCAGTAATGTCTCCATTATGACAATTGTTACTGTGTTTGGCATATCGAATACGTCACGGGTAGCTTGCCGGGAGGAGGAATCAAACTAGGGTCAGCCATGTTGGCCCTTCGTGCTGTACTATCGCTCCAGCCCGATAAAGATAAATATAAAGAAGAAAACAAATTGAATAATTGCTATAAACATCCTGGCAAATCCTCTAGCTATATTTGTACTTGTATCATGTTTTTGCATAAATTAATCTTCATTTTATAGTCTTTTTAACTCGGTACATAATGGAATACTTATCCCCATATACACATAGTAATTTTAAAATTTTAAACTTAAAATGTTTGTTCCTTTTTTTAAATAATTGCTCTTTTATTTATATGTATTTTTTGGTTTTGGAGCCACACCCAACTGTCCTCAGTACTTACTCCAGGCTCTGTATTCAAGGATCATTCCTGAAGGACTGGGCAGAGATTATATGAGGTGCTGGGGATGAGTTGATGTATGCAAGGCAAGTGCCTTACCTGCTGTGCTATTTCTCTGGCCTCAACAGTTACATTTTAAAATCATTTTTAACTTTGTTTGTTTGTTTGTTTGTTTTGCTTTTGGGGTCACATCTGGTGATGCACAGACAGGGGTTACTCCTGGCTCTGCACTCAGGAGTTACTCCTGGCAGTGCCCAGGGCACCATATGGGATGCTGGGAATTGAACCTGGGTTGGCTGCGTGCAAGGCAAACGCCCTACCCACTGTGCTATCTCTCCAGCCCCTCATTTTAACTTTTTGGATCATTCCCAGCTGTATTTAAGGCTTATGCCTGGATCTGTGCTCAGGGATCACTTGTGACTCTGGGAACCTTGGTCCTGGGGATCAAACTGGCTCACCTCTCTGCCAGCAGCACCTTATGGCCTGGGCATTGAATTTTAAAAATTGATCCTGGAGGTGTTGGATAGGAGGAGACTCTGAGACTATGTGGGAGGGTGTGGTGTTGGAACATTGTGTACATGAAACCCTGTCATTAACAGTATTGTAAGGCATGGTGTTTCAACACAAAAAACTTGATCCTGGAACTTGGATGTACTGTTGTAGCTCAGGGGTAGGGCGCATGCATCAAACTTGTAAGGTCCTAGATTTGGTCCTTAGCTACATATAAATAAATCCTAAAGAAATAATTAGAGTATTCACAAAAGACATAGCTATATTTCACATTGTAGAAATAGTGGGCAAATACATTGCTGTTTAAAGATATTTAATTATGATGTTAGATGAAGACATCAGTGTAGTAAGGATTCAATGTTTGGGTTGTTAATATACATGTATATCACTGTCACTGTTGCTGTCCTCCCGTTGTTCATTGATTTGCTCCAGCAGGCCCAGTAACGTCTCCATTGTGAGACTTGTTGTTACTGTGTTTGGCATATCGAAGACGTCATGGGTAGCTTGCCAAGCCTTGCCGTGCAGGCGAGATACTCTCTCGGTAGGTTGCCAGGCTCTCCTTGAGGGGCGGAGGAATCGAACCTGGCAAACGCCCTGCCTGCTATGCTATAGCTTCAGCCCATGCATGTATTTACATAGACAAAAATTAGCATAAGACATCAACAAAATTAAGTAACTGAGTAAGAGGACATTTTAAGTAGTTTCAAATTTTGTTTCATTTTTGCATTTTGAGTTCTCTGCTTTTCTGCAGACATAGGTATCTTGTCAGGACAAAAGGCTTTTTTTGAAAGATAAAAGATGCTGATTTTTGTGGCTTAGAGAAACAGCACAGCAGGTAAGGCATTTATTTGCCGTGCATACAGACGACTCGGGTTCAGTCCTGGGCACTACATATGGTCCTGGAGTGGGAGCATCAAGCTGAGCCAGGAGTAGGCCCTGAACACAGCTGGTTGTGGCCCCAACACAAAAAGTGTTGCTTTTAAACTCAGGAAATTTCTTAATTCGTAGCCATAGGCTTTTTTTGGCCACATGGATAGAGATTTATTGAGTAGTTGTTCAATAAATGCATAGATAATTAGATATTAATATAAATAGTTTCTCTAAATTTTCAAGGCTTAGGTTTTTCTTTTTTTAAGTTCATTTTATTTTTATAAAGTTGTTCACAGTAATTCATTACATTTAATATTCGACCACCAATCCCACCATCATTTACACCTTCCCACCACTGTATTTCTAATGTTTTCATCACAAACCCCAAACTTTGCCCCCAAGCAGAGCCAGAGTTCTTTTTTTTGTATTGCTTGTTATGAATAATCTGCTAAAAATGATCCAAAAAGTTTCCTTAGAGGAAAGCGTGTGAAGATTGCTGTATTTTACCAAGGAACCATTAAGCCCTTCTATAAGAGAACATGTTGTTAAAGGTTAAACCTTGTGTGCATATATATATATTTTTTTTTCTGTACGTATATTCTCCCCCGTAAGATTGGTTGCCTTCTACTTCAAACTCTATCAAATGTGGTATGCTACTCTTGGTACACTAGTGGTGTAAAGTATGGGATGTGGCATGGCCACATTTGTCCACACCTTCCTGTCCTCAAGGATCATTACTGGAAGTGCTTGGGGGACCGTATGGGAAGCCGGGGATTAGACCTGGGTCTGCTGCATGCAAGACAATTAATTGGTTTACCGACTGTATTATCTCTCCAGTCCCATCTTTTTTTTTTTTCCTTTTTGGGTAACACCCAGCAATGCTCAGGGGTTACTCCTGGCTTTGCACTCAGGAATTACTCCTGGCAGTGCTCAGGGGACAATATGGGCTGCTGGGGATCGAACCCAGGTCAACCACGTGCAAGGCAAATGCCCTACCTGCTGTGCTATCGCTCCAGTCCATATATATGTCTTATATTCTCTGAGAGGGGCGGAGGAATCAAACTCGGGTTGGCCATGTTGGCCGCTTGCAAGGCAAACACCCTACCCACTGTGCTATCGCTCCAGCCCAAGGGGATACTAAATGTATTAAATACTTTTAAAAAGGTATATATTAAATTCTTGTACTGGGGAGATGGTTCATAGGACTGGAGTGCTTGCTGTGGATGCAGGAGCCCCAATTTTAATTCCCTGGTTCTGTTTTTCACCCCAGGGCACCTTGCACGAGGATTAGCCCTTAAGCTCTACTTGTTGGGAGCCCCCCAATATACATACATTCATATATATATGCATTCATACATACATAGTGCATTCTTAATTAGGTTGATAGCCTAAAAAAATTTTCTGTTTTATAAAATGAGATTTTTATTTTAGCATATTGCGTGTGAAGTACTAAATTTGAGAGACAAAATTTTAAGAAAAAGTTGTAGGAGACTGGGGAGATGGCTTAAGTATTGTACATTTGCCCTAGCATATGCAGGGTCCTACATTTGATCCCCAGCACCACCTAGACTCCAGTGTGTTCCCTATTTTAAAAAATTAGTTGTAGACACCCAAAAAGAGAGAGCAAAAGAGAATGCCTTGCCATAGAGGCAGGGTAGGGTAGAGGAGACGAGGTGGGGGTGGTGGTAGGGGTGCTGGGGCCATTGGTTGTGGAAAATGGGCACTGGTAGAGGGATGGGTACTTGATCATTGTATGACTGAAACACAAGCATGAAAGTTTATAAGTCTGTAACTGTACGGTGATTCACTAATAAAAAAATTAAAAAACAAAATTAGTTGTAGGAAGAAGTTGGAAGAGACTTAAAGCCCAGAGATTTTTACTTTAAATGTTGAATTTAGGGGCAGAAGAGACAGTACAGTAGGTAGGGTCCTTTCCTTGCACACAAAACTGCTAATTTGGGTCAATCCCTGTTAACCCATATGATTCTCCCAGCACTGCTAAAATTCAAAACGAACAATAGAAGATAAATTTGAATTTATATTAGCGTGTCTTGTTTTTTTACAGATTAAGCATTGGCACCATGAACTGGAATAAAGGTGGCCCTGGCACTAAGAGGGGATTTGGCTTTGGAGGTTTTGCCATTAGTGCTGGAAAGAAGGAGGAACCAAAACTTCCACAACAGTCCCATAGTGCCTTTGGGTCAACCAGCTCAGCTTCTGGATTTGGAAAGTCAGCTCCACCACAGCTCCCTTCTTTCTACAAAATTGGATCTAAACGGGCCAACTTTGATGAAGAAAATGCGTAAGTGGTAATTCCGTGTGACGTAACAAAGCTCGGGCTTTGAAATAATCTTTTTTCATCAACAGCCATCAAGGAAAAGAAACAGTATAGAGGATGGGATGCTTGCCTTGCATGCAGCTGACCCAGGTTTGATCTCTGGCACCACATATGGTCCCCCTAGCCAGGCCAGAAGGGTCCCTGAGCACAGCCAAAAGTGAACGTTGAATAGAGTTGGATGTGTTCCAGACTAAAACCCAAAAATTTTTCCCAATTAATAATGTCTTAAATTGGTTATCTTACTGAATTACATTGTTTCCAATAAGTTAAATCATCAGGTTTATGTATATTGTAAGGACTATAATGCTTATGGGTTGCTTATAATGACTTACTCAAAATAAAAGGAATTCTTTGAAAAACAGAGAACAGGTGAGTTTTAAATAATCCATGTGGGGTTTGGTGGTCTTTATTGAAATCTTTTTGATACCATATAAAGTTGATATCTTAGACAGTTGTTAGAACCAGTAAAAGCAGTTGCCTGAACAGCTGAGTCCTTAACACTGTTATTTTGTAACATCTTATTGTTAATGGTAGGAAAATATACTCATTATTTTCAGAAAAGCATTCACTTAAAAATTGTTGCCTTGGCTGTGTTTGGTATTCAGGCCCACTGGTTCTTAGAGACCCCCAGAATTAAACCAGCCTGCAGTGGTGGGACAAGGGGGCATTGTAGGAGTGTAAAATACTGAAGATTCAACTCAGAACTTAATGTATGCAAGACCTAATATATGAGGAATACATACTCCTAAGTTGTGTCACAGCCCCCAGTTAATCAGTTAATGGGTTTGTTTTTTGGTTGTTTTGGGGGGTTTTGTTTGTTTTGGTGTTTGTTTTTTGGTTTGTTTTGGGGTCATTCTTGGCAGGCCTATTGAGCTACTGCTTTCATGCTCAGGGGATCATGCAGCTGACTCAGGTTCAATCCCTGGAACCATAAATGGTCCTCTGAGCACCACATGGGATTTCAAATCCAACCCTGGTTGACTGTGTGCAAAGCAAGTGCCCTGCCTGCTGTACTATCTCTCTCGCCTCTCATTCTAGAAGCTTGTGATTTTTTTTTCCAGTTTTATTGCTTTTGGGGGGAGGGGGCAGAGGTCGCACCTGGCAATGCTCGGGTTACTTCTGGCTCTGCACTCAGAAATTACTCCTGGCGGTGCTTATGGGATGCTGGGGATCGAACCTGGGCCTACTATGTGCAAGGCAAATACCCTACCTACTATACTATTGCTTTGGCCCACATAGCTTAATTCTTATTGGTCAGTCACTAATTTGATCTGTATAATTAAAACTTATTAAGATTTATCGTCATTGGCAGAGCCTGACAAGCTCCCCATGGCGTATTCTCTATGCCAAAAACAGTAACAAGTCTCACAATGGAGACATTACTGGTGCCTGCTTGAGCAAATCGATGAACAGTAGGAGGACAGTGCTACAGTGCATTATCATAAAAATTCTCTGTTAAAAAATTTATTGATTTACAAATTACTCACTTTATTGGTGCATTTTAATTTCAGGTATTTTGAAGATGAGGAGGAAGACTCTAGCAATGTTGATTTACCTTACATTCCTGCTGAAAACTCGCCTACCCGCCAGCAATTCCATTCCAAGCCTGCAGATTCTGACAGCGATGATGATCCCTTGGAGGCATTCATGGCTGAAGTGGAGGCATGTATCAGTTGTTTTATTTAGATATTTAACAGTCAGGGTTGGAGAGATTGCCTATAGGGCTGAGCACATGTGTTGTCTGCTGGAGAACTAGGCACTGCTTAGTCCCCTGAGCACTGTGAGAGCAACCTCTAAGCACTACCATCAGGTGTCGCCCAAAATCAATAAAAACTAAAAGTACCACATCTCTTTTGTTTGTTTTGGGGTCACATTTGGTGGTGCTCAGGGCTTCTGACTCAGTGCTCAGGGTCATTCTGCTCGGGCTTGGGGGATCATATGGGGTGCTGGAAATTGAACCCAGGTTAGCTGCATGCAAGGCAGGTACCTCTTTTTAATTTTTTATTGTTTTAGAATTTTATTCTTTTATGTACAATTTGTTTTTTTTTTTTTGTCCAGTTCTGGTGATCCACCCAAAGCTTCACTCATGTAAGGCAAGCACTCACTCCTTCTGAGCCACATTTCTGGTCCCCAAATAACAATTTCTTAAATTTACTTCTACCTCCCCTGTAACGTTTTCAGAGGTGATAGGACTGTAGAGATTTGAATTATAATGTTTGAACAAAATAACTCCCAAATTTGCATCCCTGTGTTTTCATGATTCTTGGTATATTCTTAAAGTAGAATGAGCATTCTCCATTTAAAAATCTGTATTCTATGCAATTTTGAAGGAGTGTGAGGGGCTCTTTCAAGCAGTGCTCAGGGGTATAAGAGACCCTGTCTGGTGATTATTAGTCAAGTGGGCCTGTGGTTTAGCGTTAGAAACCAAGAACATCAGGCTGTGAGGCCACTTTAGCAGTGCTTGGGGACCTCTGGGGCTATACCTGGCAGTGTTCTGGCCTCCACAGCTATATCTACAAAGTATCTGGATATTGTGGAAAGAACTGAGGTTGGCTGAATGCAAGGTATGTACCTTAACCCCTTTACTATTCTTGGACCACCTGTATTCTGTACTTTAAAAGAAATTGGGGAGTGGTGTTTATAATACTATTAATAATGGTTTCTCATGGACATAACACCACACCCATCACCAGTATAACTGTCTTCCTCCTCCAAGGAACCCTCCAACTCAATTGTGTGGGTCACTTCACCCATTATATTGCCTTTGTATCTTTGTTACTACCTCAAGTATGTATCTTTAAGTCCCATACATGAGAGATTTCTGTATCTGTCCCTTTCATTCTGATTTTACTCAGCATGATACCTGCTAGTTCAGAAACCCAAGCTTTAATAAAAAGATACCCTACTAAATGGGAGAAAATATTGCACATACCCGTGACGTGGGCTGGAGCGGTAGCACAGCGGTAAGGTGTTTGCCTTGCACGCAGCCAACATGGCCGACCTGAGTTCGATTCCTCCGCCCCTCTCGGAGAGTCCGGCAAGCTACCGAGAGTATCTCGCCTGCACGGCAGAGCCTGGCAAGCTACCCGTAACGTATTCGATATGCCAAACACAGTAACAACAAAGTCTCCAATGGAAACGTTACTGGGCCCGCTCGAGCAAATCAATGAACAATGGGAGGACAGTGACAGTGACCTGTGACGTATTTGATATGCCAAACACGGTAACTAGTGTCACAATGGAGACGTTACTGGGCCCGCTGAGCAAATTGATGAACAATGGGAGGACAGTGGCAGTGACTTCTGATAAGGTTCGATATCCAAGATCTATAAAGCACTACTCAACTTGCCAACGAAAAATCCAGTGATCCATCCATAAATGGGATGAAGAAATGAATGTCATCCATATTAGAGAAACACAAATCAAAACAACAGTGTGCCATTTATGTGCCTTTCAGAATGGCATATATCAAGAAATCTGGAGTGGGGCTGAGTGATAGAACAACTTGCTGGGTGTTTTCCTTGCACACAGCCGACCCCGGCTCGATCCTTATCATCTCATTTGGTTCCCTGAGCACTGCCAAGAGTGATCTTTGAGTCCAAAGCCAGGAGTAGCCTAGACTTTTCTGGGTATGGTCTCAAAACAAAGAAAAAGAAATCTGGAAACAGCCAATGAAGGCAGGGTTGAGAAAAGAATCTTCCACTGTTTGGAATGTATCCTGTACTTTTGATGCTGATTTGTTAATACCTACATTATCATTAACATCTATTACTTTCCTCTAGAAATTAAAACTTGTGTCTTGCTGCTTTCTTAAAACTTTTCCCTCTTTTCCCCCTTTAATGAGTGTGTCAAATATAGAAGCTTGTGCTCTACCACTGAGTTACAAACCCTTTTGTTGTTTTTTGGGTGGCCACGCCTGGTGATGCTCAGGTTTAACTCCTGGCTGTGTCAGGGATCAAACCCTGCTGGGCCATGCGCAAGGCAAGTGTCCTATCTGCTTGTACTATCTCTCGAGACCTACTCCATTCTTATTATGAAAAAAAAAAAAGGAAATGTACGAAAGAATAATATGACATGAGCCCCCATATACACTTTTGGGTGGCGGAGAAATTAGTGGGTTTTGGGTCTCAAGAGCACTACAACCTGTAGTGCTTTGGGGTACTTGTCTCTACTTGGCTTTTACTCCTGGTGGTGCTTAGACCATGCAGAATGCCTTAACCTCTGTGGCTCCCATTTAGTAACTTCAGGCCAATCTGTTTTAATCTAACCTTTTTCTCTCATTTTAATGCATTTCAGTTATGCATTTCATCCATCTTTGTTTTTTGAACTCTTAAAGTTTCTTTTGTTTGTTTTCTTTTTTTGTTTGGGGCACCATAACTGGCAGTGCTCGGGGGACCAAGTGGGATGGCAGGATCAAACCTGGGTTGACTCATGCAGTGCAAGCACCCTAGTCACAGTATATCATTGTACAAAAGGAAATCATTAGATGTAAGCTATTGTCTTTTCCCTCCCCTTTTGGGCCATACCTAGCAGTGGTGCTCAGGTTTTACTTCCATCTTGCAGTCAGGGATCACTTTGGCCAACTGGAGATCAAATCCGTGTGCCTTGTACAAGACAAATGTCTTACTCACTATAGTAACTCTGACCCTCTCTTAATTTAGGGGGGGTGGGTGTTGGGTCATACCCAGCCATGCTCAGAGCTTACTCCTGGCAATGCTTGGGGGAACATATGGGACATCGGGGATTGAACCTGGGTCAGCCACATCCAAGACAATTCTGTACCCACTGTACAGTCACTCAGCCGGTCTGTGCATTCCTTAGTGACCTGTATCTAATTGGAACACTTAATTTGATTGTGAATAATTTGTGTCATTAGTGTAGCATGTTCTTTAGTTTCAGTTCTACATTGTCAAAAGCTTATCAGTCTTTTTGTCAAGTGTATAATCATTTGACACATTAAGTCCAATTCATCATCTTTCATCCTTAGCCATGTGTTAAATCTTACTTCTTTTAATGGCATTAAAATCATAATCATCTTGGCTTTAATTTCTTCCTTTTAATTTCTTTTTAGCACACTATCAGTCATCATGCATTTCATTTAGTACTCAGAGTAGCATTGGGAATCGGCAGAAAAAATACGCATGTGTGTAAACTTTTTTTAGGTAGTAGGAAAATTGAACTTTTATTTGGGGGGCCAGGGCATTAGACCACACTCAGTGGTTCTTGGGGCTTACTCCTGGCTCTGCAATCAAGGATCACTCATGGTGGGGCTCAGGGGACCATATGGGTGCTGGGGATTGAACCCATGTTGGACATGTGCAATGCGAGCACCCACCCTCTTCTCTGGATCTGGCCCAGGAAAATTGAACTCTTTTTCCTTTTTTCTTTCTAATTAAAAATACTGTGTTTTACAAAGTTGCTCATTATACAGTCTCGGGCATTTAGTGTTCTAATAGCACCAGTAGAAAATTGAACTCTAAGATATTCAAACCCTTAACCTCTGATGACATTGATGTTATGTGGCAGAGTTGGTGTTCATCTAATTTTCCTTGTTTAGTAGTTCTGATACCTTCCATTTGGAATCATCACGCTTGCATTGTAGTTCACTTTATAATGAAGAAATAAGTTTCTGAGCTCTGGTCTCACCAAATAGTAGAAAGTAAGACGCAATGGCCATGTGACTTAATAGCATTTAGATCATTAACTGGAATACTGTATTTCAGATATATATAATTCAGTATAGTCAAATATCTAGGCACTTGTCTTCAAAAAAGTATTGAAAAGCAATTTGATTACATTAAGATTCAGATGTCAAAATGGATAGTTATCGCTGTCATAACACTTGTTTAAATATGAACGTTGTTTTTGTAGATATTTCTCTTTTAGCATTTTTAATTGGTATGACTCCATATAGTCTTTGTTTTATTAGGATCAGGCGGCTAGAGATATGAAGAGACTTGAGGACAAGGACAAGGAAAGAAAAAACGTAAAGTAAGTTACTTTCTTCTCTTTCCAAATATTACATGAAAATTGTAAATTATTATAAAGCTTATTCCCCCACAGTTTATAGAGAAAAATGAAAATACCAAAATTTCTTGGCTTGAAGTTAGCCCTGTATATTTTGTACGTAATAGAAATGACAAAAGACTGCATTTGCATAATTTTAATTATTTTTGGTAGAGTAGTATTTTATCAAATACTATAAATTTTTTAGTGAGTTCAGGAATGACCTAAAAGATTTAAAGTGAGCATAATAACTAAAATATGGGCTTGTTTCATTTTTGTTTTGTAGTTAAGGTAAAGTAGGTTAATGCCCATTGATTATAAGCAATTAATGATTTTATTATTAGAAACTATAGTATTAATAAATAATAAAACTATATAAAGAGTGATGCCATACCTTAGCAACCCGAACAGAACTTGAAGTACTTTATTTGGGAAAGAAAATCCTTCTCTTTCCTCTTAAAGTCTTTTGCTGCAAGGCACATATAGGGTTGTTTTTTTAGAGTATTTTTCTCACTTTGTTTTGCAGTCATTGCTCTAGTTCTTCCCTAAGGTCACAGGCCATGTGGAGGTTCAGTCCTGTCTTTGATGCTTACTCTGTGTTGCATCCTGTTCCAGCTGCCTCACACCGATGTGTTACTTTTGAGGAATCTGAGGAATAGCAAGTGCTATAGTTTAGGCAAAAAGTCCAGTGAAAAGAGATGGCTATAGGAACAAAGCAACGGTTCTTTTTTTAGTTTTCTAGATAAACAAGTAGTAGTCACACCCCTTTCTCAATGTGGTCAGTTTAGGAATTTTAATCCTAATTTTAGGAAAGAATTGATAGTTTTTTTTTCCTGTCCCCAGTGGTTTTGATAGAAAGCAGTTATTCCAGAACTAGAACTGTGTTGTGACATTCTTTCTACTGTATATCAAAATTTTTCTTTTAATAAAAAAAGGCTTTTCACAACTGCACTGTGTTTGTTTTGTGGGATTCACAGAGCTAGGATCCTTGAGTATCTTCTCCTTAAAAGTTTTTCCTCCTCATACCCTTGTTTTAGTAAATTGATGTTTCTAGGGATCCCATATCATCCCATTCTGAATAAATGTAAATCACAGTTGCTTTTAAGAATGAAACCACACGTATAAAAGAGGTTGATAGTTTACAGTATTCTTATTGCTGCTTTGTTATTGTTAGTGTTGAGAGTTCCTGTGCTGTATGGAATTCAACACTAATCTGTAAGTGTGGAGCTGGGTATGTGGAACATTTGCAGGGAAGTTTGTTTCTCCGCTTGTTTTTCCAGGGGTATTCGAGATGACATTGAAGAGGAAGATGACCAAGTGAGTTTCTATGCAGTATTTCTATCTTTCATTTTTACTCCACAAGATCTGTACTGGGTACATGTTAGAGCTTGACTTTAACCAAAATGGCCATTCCTTATGTTCTATAAGGAATGTCATTTTATTTGCCTCTTTTCTACCTGTGTGACTAATTGGTAATAATAAAGATTCACATGCCTTACTGCATATTGAAGAGGAAACTTGATCAGCTATGACATCAAAAACAAGTACCAGCTTTATTCAACTTTTTTAATCCAATATTAATATTTACTCTGACAACTAGAGTAGTGTGGGATATACTGATGGCCTGTAGCAACATCTAAGTGCTGCCTCTTTCAAAGGGTTCTACTTTGTGACTCTCTATTTCAAGATGGAACATAGGACTGTGTTTTGAATATTTTTTCCCCAGTGTTCAGTTATGGGGTGGTGTAAAGAGAACCCACGTAAATAGTAGTCCTTTCCAGGTTTGTGTCAGCTTTCAGACTTGGATTGGTAAAGCCACAGATGTGTTTCCACAGTTCTGGGAAGGGTAGACAGACACCCCACCCCAGAAAGGCTATGGAATAAGTAGATTTATGAATTTTAAAAAAGAGTCAGATCTTTTTATGTCTTAAAATCATTTATTGTCTTTTAAAAAGTTAAATCATTTTATAGTATGTTCTCATTTCTTCTGATTGTCCATTTGACTACTTCTGTTGAATCATGCTAGTAAAAGTCTTGTTTGGTAGCTATTCTAAACTATAATCATCTGGTACACTGTACCTGTTTACAGGAGCTGAAATGTTCTGAATTGTACTTGGGAATGATTATGTTATTGTGCTTTCCTGCAGGAAGCTTATTTTCGGTACATGGCAGAAAATCCAACTGCTGGTGTGGTGCAAGAGGAGGAGGAAGATAATTTGGAATATGATAGTGATGGAAATCCAATTGCACCTTCCAAAAAAATCATTGATCCTCTTCCTCCCATTGATCATTCAGAGGTATATTCTTCTTGAATTTGATTTTTTTTTCAAGCTGATAACAAGTTTTGGTTTTAATATTTAGGTTGACCCAACATCTGAGTCCTTCTGATTCATACTCTCTATTTTATATGAGAGTGTTTGTCCTTTTGGATCTTGTCATCCATTTCTGAGTGGTTGAGACTAAAATTCCCTTTAAGCTTTACAGCCTGTGTAGTTCAAGAGACAGCTGAATCACTTGCTAAAATCTGATTTTAGGTTAAGAATATGTTTTGAGGACAGATCAATTATACTCATTTTCTAGATTACCACTAACAATTTCCTTTTCAATATGGACCTTTGAGCTGCGTTTGGAATTTTTGATTCTGGGCCATACTGAACATACTGAGTGGTACTTAGTAACTAATCCCAGCTCTGTGCTTGGGCTTTGTGATGCTCGGGGGACCATGCAGTGTCAGGGATCAAACCTGAGCTCCTGCGTACAGAGCATGCTCTCAGCGCAGCCAGTTGGTGTCTGTCACTGACTCTGTGTTTAAAACTATTGCTCCTAGATCTGGGATAGGAAAGCCTGTTTCTTCAAAGTGGATCCAGGAACTGTAGGTTCTTTATATCAGGAGAAGGAAGTGGGGATATCCTTACACTTTCATGGGGGAGGAGAGTAGAACAGTGTTTCTAATGTAGATAAGTGGTTCCCAAAACTTACTTTTCCTTAGCCCCCTTTTAAGGAAAAGTAACAATTATCACTCAGAAACTGAAATGTACCCTCCTCCCCCTCCCAAATCTGTCTTTAAGACTTAGCTTCTTTTCTTGAGGTAGGAGTAGGCGGCTGGATATTGGGCCACACTCTTGATATTTGGGCTGTTCCTGACTCCTCAAGAGTGACCCCTGGCAGTGCTTAGTTAATCATGTACAATGATGAACCAGGTTTAGCCAAGCAATTGCATGCAAGGCAAGTGTCTTTACCTTCCCTGCTCTCTCCAGTCCTGTGATTTTTTTTTTCCTAAATAATAATTTTAACCTGAGGCTATTACCACACCCACATTTTTCTAGCATAAACCTTGGGTCAGGGCAGGGCAGTATTACTTTGGGAGACACTGGACTAGATCTTATCCTGTGATTCTAAATCTAGAGCAGTGCTTTTTAGAGTATTTTCAGGATCAAGTCTCACATAAATGTACGCTTGGGGTCTGTTTGTTAAGTGTAAAGGTCACTTGAGTCTAAAATATTTGCAAACTGCTAACTTAGAGCAGTGTATAGGTTATATTCAATTTTTAAATGTTTCTTTTTGCACAGATGCTACTGCATAATGCCTTGGTATTTTACATATGACAAATGAAATGAAGTAAATGAAACTGATCTAAGAGGAAGCATCTGTGATAAAGGGTGAAAATAAAATTAGAAGAACAAGTACTTGAAATAATCATCTAGTAAAATGTTTGAGATAATTGACAAAGTGCTCACACTTCATCATCATGCTGGGGTATCACATAGTTTTCCTAATTTAATGGGAACTCTTCCAGAAAAGGTCAAAAGGGAGGAAAGGCATTCCTGCTGCTTATAAATAACTTTCTTTGCATTTTTATGCTAAAAAATTGTATGTAAAAAGTATACCTGTTTATATGTAAAATCTGTGAACAAAAATGAAAATTCATTTCCCCATGGAGCTTCCATTCTGATAAAGAGAACTATAAGAAAATTCTGTTGCAGATCTGGATCTATAGGTTGGTGGTAGAGCACATATACCCCACATGTATGAAACTGGATAAAGCAAAAAAAAAAGAAGTATTTGTTAATGGTTTAATGTATCATTGTAGGAAATGTTACAAAATGTCCTATCTCTTAATAATGCTGTAGGGATACTTTTAGAATTTCCTACTTTATTATGTATTGAGAGTACCATAGAAAGATTATTTCCTATAGTTCTTTTCATAGTGGCCTCCAATGGTACTGGAAACCTGGGGCCCATTACCAGTGAGTGGACTGGGGGTAAAGGGCAAGGAAGTTGTGCCAGAGATCAAGCGTGGACCTGCCAACGCAGGGCCTATGCCTCACACCTTCGATCTACCTCCCTGGCCTGTTTTTGTTCACATAGGAAGGTACCACCCTCAGCTGTGTATTTGATGTTTGGAGGTCATAGGACTACCCCCATTGCTCCCCAGGGGGCTACATGGTGTCTGGGATGGAGCATACTGGCACCTTGTCCTTCTCAGGCATGGACTGACCACTTGAGCTAGTTCCCCTCCAGAATTTGTAAAGTTTTTTGTTAGGTTTTTAGTTATGTGGGTTTTTTTTTCTTTCCTTTTTCTTTTTTGGTACACACGTGGCAGTGCTCAGGGCTGCTTCCTGGTCCTGTGCTTAGGGATCACTCCTAGCCAGGAATCAAATATGGGTCAGCTGTGTGCAGAGCAAGCACCCTTCCCACTGTACTATCTCTTTAACCCCCAAAATTAGTGAAATTTTTAACCATCAAATTTTAAGTCTTCACAATCAATCCTCTGGGGACTGGAGAGATAGTACAGAACATGGGACACGTGCCTTGCATATGACTGACCTTGTTCATTCTCCTATACCACATATGGTCCCCTCAGTACCACCGGGAGTGATCCCTGAGCATAGAGCCAGGAGTAAGCCCTGAACATAATCAAGTGTGGCCCAACTCCCACTCCCCCAAAAAGTGTTTTGTAAACATAGCATGTTGATAGACAGAGTCATTTAGGAGCCAGAGAGACAAAACTGGTTAAGGCATTTGCCTGGCATGCAGCTTGACCCCTGTTGATCAGCAGCACTGCATACGGTCCCCTGAGCACTACTAGGTGTGGCCCAAGATCTCTCCCCCCAACAAAAAAGAGAATCATTTAGGCAAATTAATTTGTTTTTATGTTGTTTCTTACTACAGCATGAAAAGAATAACAAAATATTTCTCTCTTCTGTGGAATTGAAATGCTTGGTCATAGACTTTTTTTAAAATTCTGTAAACAAGTTTCATGCTTTTAAAAAGAATAGAACTTGGGACCAGATAGTATAGCTGGTAAGCTAACTTGCATATGGTTAACCCAGCTTCTATCCCCAGTATCCTATATGGTCCCCTGAACCCTACCAAAAGTGATTCCTGAGCAGAGCCAGGAATAAGGTGCCACACCAAAACAAAACAAAACAAAAAAAAATTCTGAAGTTAGATCTCTTCCTAGAGGAAATATTGGAAATGTTTTCAAATGCTAAGTGGACAGCTGAACTCTCAAAAATATTTTAGTTAATAGAATAGAATATCTTATTTGAAATACTAGTTCTGAAGCCTTTGGCCTTGTGCCCTCGGAAATAACTTAGTGTTTGTATCTCAAGATAATTTAAATCTGAGATGTTCCTAAGAGTCTTTGTGGAGCCCAGAGAGATTAGGGCTGGAGCACAATGCCTGGCATGTATGGGTTTGATCCCACCACCACATGGTCTTTTTAGCACTGTTGATTACCTGGTAGGACCCAGTACCACTCGGTTTGATCAGATTGCTTAAACAGGCCTGAGCATTGAGGCATCCAGGCTGGGAATGGTTCCCTTGCTCTTTGGACTGCTTGGAAGCTTCCCACACTACCCAGAGGAGCCTTGTTTTGTTTTGTTTAGTTTTGTACCACACCTGTCGGTACTCGGGACTACTGGCTCAGCACTCAGAGATCACTCCTGACTCTGCTTGCGGGCCCATTTGGGGTGCCAGGAATTGAACCCAGGTTGACCTTGTGCAAGGCAAGTACTCCATGCTCCCCCCATCCTGCCGCCAGTTGGTTTTGTTTTTTTTTTTTTTTAAATAAAATAAAAATAAGTTGGCGTTATTTTGAGATTTCTATAGGAAAAGGAACTGGTTTGTTTTGTATGTCATGAATAAGTGACTCCCTTTGTTCTTTCTAGCTGGCTATGGCTTTACTTGTGTAATATTTATAAAAGGTTATTTTGTATTAAAATCAAACTTACAGGATTGACTCTTGAATTCTAGACTAACTTTGAATAATTGGACCTGCAGATTGATTATCCACCATTTGAAAAAAATTTTTACAATGAACATGAAGAGATAACCAACCTCACACCACAGCAGCTTATAGATCTCCGGCATAAGCTCAATCTTCGGGTAAGGCAAATAAGCTAAATATTCTTGTTTTTTTTTCTTTCTTTTTTTTTTAAATTTTAATTTGTTCAGAGTATTACTTACCCAAATTAAAGAGAAATAAATTGCTAATGATCACTGAACCATCTAATTAGAATAGTAAATATATTGTGTGGGTTTGCCTTCTTGATTTTATTTTTGCCGCTAGCTGTTTTAGAATAGAATTTTTTTTTCCCTTTTATGTAACATACACACGTGCTCTATTGCTTTTTGTTAAAACAGTGAATTACTGTGACCTTAAAATTAATTTAGCAGGCATTTCTTCATTGAGCATACTCTAAGAACTGTATTGGATAGACTAGAGATGAAAGTTAGAAGCCAGTATCTTCAGGAAGAGGAAAGAAGATTAATACAAGAATCTGAAGTCTTAGAATATTTTAAAATTAATACATGATTTTCAAGTGATATGCAGCATACTTTTGTTAAATAAAGGAATTCACGCCATAAATAAATATGCCTGCACTAATTTCAGAATAAAGGTTTCACACCTTGATTCCAGTTGATACCATGAGTGACTCATACTTGAGTGTGGTTGAAGTAATACAAATTGTAGCACAGGTAAGGGGAGAGGGAAGAAAGAGAGAAGGAGAGAATAAAAATGAATGTATGTGTTGGTATGTACAACACACCCACTCCCAGAGAAAACAAAAATAATAATTTTAGTTGAGATCCTGATTGTAAGTACTAGTCAATATTACTGAAGAAGCTTTGAATCAGTTATCACTTTAGAGTCAACACTGAGATTAATCCTCGTTCCTCACTTGGGTACAGTTCAAACAATGCTTGAAGGTTGGCTGGACCATCATTAAGTATGACATCAACTCTTTACGCATGATTGAGAATGGAAATGGTAGATAATATCTTTGTAATCAGTGAGTATAGATTTGTCTTATTTGAAATTCATTTACATTCCATTTTATTTCAAGAGTAAATTTTATTTTTGTCTGCCATCTGGTTAATAGTAATGAAAAGTGGACTTAAAAAGTACATCATTGCCTTATTTTCCCAATTTATTTTAGTGCGTTTTATTTTCTTAGGAAAAAATGACTTGTGACATATGTAACAATCATCTCAATATTTATCATGGGGATTTTGTATAACATTTATGTCCACTGCTTTGAGTTTTACCTTTTCAAACAGTGTTCATTCTACCCTTTTTTTTTTTTTTGGTTAAATTTAAGCACTGTGGTTTACAAAGTAAGTTGTTCATAATATAGTTGTTATGGCCATTCACTGTTTCAGCACCAATCCTACCACCAGTGTGACCTTCCCTCCATCATTGTCTCCAGTTTCCCACCCTCCCACCCCGAAGCCTGCCCCTTTAGCAGGCACAACATAATTATATTGCTTATTAGAATTAAATAGCTAATGGAACTATCAGAAAATACTTCGGTAAAAGAAAATTTGTGGAAATTATTATATTTCACCATGGGGTCATTAAATCCTTGTTTGAGGGGTTACTAAGCTGTTTGTTACTAGCTGAACTTTCTGTGTTAACTGTTTTTATTTATTGAGCTTAGTTGGCTTCTATGCTACTTTCCCATTGAATTTGATGTGCTCCTACTGGGCTGTCAATATGGTGGAATTTGGTATGCAGCTTCGTGTGCCAGGAACTCCAGGATCTGTAGAACCGGGCGGATGAGTTGACATGGTGGAGGCTGTGGGATGTCGGTGTAGCTACTGGGACTTCCAGAAATAGGGGGGGTGGAGGGTAGGCTGCACACTCCCACTCTGAAAAGATACCAGTTTTTAGCCTGAAAACTTCGCTTTGCATTTTTACTTCATAGTCAAGCTCTGTCCTAGGTACAGTAAACAGTGTTGAAATTTACACCACTGTTTTTAAATGCAAGTCATTCCTGGGAGTTGTCCTTATCTCTAGGTCTCTGGTGCTGCACCTCCTCGACCAGGAAGTAGTTTTGCTCATTTTGGGTTTGATGAACAACTTATGCACCAGATTCGGAAGTCTGAATATACACAACCCACTCCAATACAGTGCCAGGTAAGTAAAAGATAATAAAAGAAAATGAAATATAAAGATATTCAGTGGTTATATTTATTTACAAACAATTCCAAGCAATAAATAAGTTTTCAGTGTAAAGACATACACATAGACATACATGGGGCAAGAGAGATAGTACAGTGGGCAAAGTGTTTGCACACAGCCAACCCAGGTTTAGTCCCTGGCACCCCATAATGTCCCCAGGTCTGCCTGGATTGGTCCCTGAGCACACACAACTCCCATCACTCCCCCAAAAAAACCGAAAATGTGTGTAGACATACAGAGCTTCCAGATATTTCTGCTGTGGTGTAGCTTTAATTTTTGGTTTTTAAAAAGGGAAGAAGGGAGATACATTAAATTTGAGAGTATTATGAAACCTTTATAAAGAGTAAAGAGTAAAAAAAGTAAATAATTTACCACCCTGACCACTTTGTAAGGAGCTGGAATGTGTTTTCTTTTTTTAAATTTGGTAAATGTTTTGAAAGTGAGATCTGAAGAAGAGTTTGGCCTAAATTTAAACACGATTTGTGAACAGTACCAGCTAGCACTAGCATTTCTTTTTTCCTATAACCTGAAAAGTCTCGTAAGTGAAAATAATAGCACTTGCTTTCCTCATGTATATGAGATATATTTGTTCCTACATAGAAACTGAGAATTTTCTGCAGTTTGAGTTTGAATGGATTAAGATAGTCTCAAGGAAAAAATATTTTAGCAGTCCACTTGGGCTGGAGTGATAGCACAGCGAGTAGGGCGTTTGCCTTGCACACAGCCAATGTGGCTGACCCCAGTTCGATACCTCCACCCCTCTCGGAGAGCTCCGCAAGCTACGGAGAGTATCTCGTCCTCACGGCAAAGCCTGGCAAGCCACCCATGACGTAGCTTGCCACACGTGTCATATTTGATATGCCAAACAGTAACAATAAGTCTCACAATGGAGACATTACTGGGCCCGCTCGAGAAAATCGATGAACAATGGGAGGACAGTGACATCAATCTGCTTAGATGATATATTGTAAATTCTGGGGGCTGGAGTGATAGCACAGCGGGTATAGTGTTTGCCTTACATACGACCAATCCAGGTTTGGTTCCCAACATCCCATATGGTTCCCTGAGCACCGCCAGGAGTAACCCCTGTGCATAGTCGGATATGACCCAAAAAGCAAAATAAATAAATATATGCTTATTATAAATTTTCAATGACTTTGTTTCAAATAAGATGGAGTCATTTATATTTTGTAGCTTGTAGCTGATTTCCGTAAATAGTTTCAAATCAGGAAGGCTTGGGAATGCTAGATATTTTTTATTAGTTAAAAAAATATGCATAGGTTACAATATTTTTGTTCTTTTGGAAATGAATATGATTCCCAATCATTTACCTTTCCCAGGATTTTCTCTAGCATATTTTTAAAATTAAAAAACTGGAATCCAAATAGACCAGTGATATGAACACATGTTTTACATGCAGGAATCCCAGATACAAGCCCCCAACACTTTATATGGTTCCCTGAGTACTACCCGGAGTAACCCCCAAGTACCAAGCCAGAAATTGCCTGTGAGCACAATCAGGTGTAAAAACCCCACCCCCAAGAAAACAAAATAAAAATAAAATGAACTTGAAAATGTAGGGTTTGGTATATGTCTCAGTTGATAAGGTGTGTGCCCTAGATATGTGGGCCCTGGATTTGATCCCTGGCCTTCTCAAAAAGCTCTTTTTCAGTTTAGATTGGATATACATTTTTTTTTCTCCAGGGTGTGCCTGTTGCCTTAAGTGGTAGAGATATGATTGGCATTGCCAAAACAGGCAGTGGAAAAACTGCAGCCTTTATCTGGCCTATGTTGATTCATATAATGGACCAGAAAGAATTGGAACCAGGAGATGGGCCAATTGCAGTGATTGTGTGTCCTACTAGGGAGTTGTGCCAACAGGTAAGTGCTTTATGTAGAATATCTTCTAACATACTGTATGTGTCCTGGCAAGAGAAGAGAGTCAAGTGGATAGAATTACCAGGAAACTTTTAAGTTTTGTTGAAATATTTAAGAACTTGGTCATTTAAACAAATTTTAAGTACATGATTCAGTGTCATTAAATGCCTTCACATTGTTTTGTCAACCAGGAAACTTGGAAAACGTGTATTACATATATGTAGCTACTAGCATATATCCCCCTAAAATGTATCCTTTTTAAGAGAAAAAATGTATATTATGGAACTTGTTTGTATAATGTAAGCTTCCATATTTTTTTCTTGCTGGGTTAATTTGTTTTGCTAGATAGAAAAGCAGTGTCAGAGTCAGGAAGAGATTCGGCAGAAAGAAAAGCAAGATTTTTAGATAGTCTATTGAGATGTGTAATGACACCTCTAATATTCATTTACCAAATGAAGAAAATTGTGATTCTAATTTTTTTTTTAATAATACCATCTTTGTGTTTTTCAGAACTCTTTTTGGGTTGTAACAGGTATTATTGGTGTTAGTTTGTTAATATGTTGTTATTAACATTATAGATTCATGCAGAATGTAAACGGTTTGGGAAAGCATATAATCTTCGATCAGTGGCCGTGTACGGAGGCGGGAGCATGTGGGAGCAGGCCAAGGCTCTTCAGGAAGGGGCAGAGATTGTTGTGTGTACTCCAGTAAGTATGTTTTCAATGTTAGAAGTTTCTCACATCTCTTGGTATGAGAAGATGATTAGGTTATTGGAGGAAACTTCCCCTAAGATACGCGTTGAAGCAGAATTTACAATACTGAGAAGTAATAGCTTAAAGTGTTTGGTTTAGTTCTGAGTTAAATAGCAACCCGGCTATTTTCTAACATACGTATATAGCAACAAATACTCTCTTAAATTTCTTGTAATTATTTTTCTTGGGGAAATGGATCTTTGGGGACTGAAGAGATAATGCAGTGGTTACGGGGTTAAGGCACTTGCCTTGCATATGAGTGACCTAGTTTGGTTTCTGGCTTCAAGTTCCCCGGGCACTTCCAGAAATGACCCTGAGCACAGAGCCAGGAGTAAGCTCTTGAGCAGAGAAAGGGAGAGAAAGAGGATCTGTATTTCTTAACATGACTAGAATTGCCTAGAAGAATGCAGTCTAAATGTTTAGTTCCACCAATAAGCTCTTACATTATTTCAGATGCCCTAGAATAGTTCTGGCCATTTTTGAGTTTTGAGAATTTCTGTTCTCTAGGCTACTATGGTAGTGCTGTTATAGTATGAAACTTGGGCTTTTACTAGTTGCATGGTACAACTATAACCTTGAAAGTTCTTAAATGCCTTTAATTATACTTACTCATTTTCTGGATCTCATAGGGTCGATTGATTGATCATGTAAAGAAGAAAGCTACCAATCTTCAGAGAGTGTCTTACCTTGTGTTTGATGAAGCAGATAGAATGTTTGACATGGGATTTGGTATGCCTTTGAATGCCATTTTTTTATCTCTGTCCTCATACTGGTTTATTCTGTCTTGCTAATTATTTTTCCTTCTGTGTAAGAGAAGCTAAAAATACTGAGTGGGAACTGTAGAGATCTAGATAAGACATTAACCTTTAGAAATTCTTTCAGGAAAAGAATGTTAAGACTTGGTTGGTTTGAGGACATTTATATAAGTGCCTTTGCTGGATAGAAGGAAAGTGTTTCTGAATCTTATACTAAATGGTATGGGGAAGGAAATGGGTATGTTGTTACTTAAGTAGTAGAGCACATGTCAGGCATGTTCAGAGTCCTGAACAAGATCCCAAGCCCCCAGCATTGTCTGGCCCATTTAAAACACAAGCCAAAAAAAAAACCCAAGGTGGGAAATCACCCAAAAGTCTGGAGTACATCCTTTAGACACTCAAGTTTGATGCCAGGTGTCATATGGTCACCTGAGAGCACTGCTGGGTGGCATACACTCCACCCCTGCCCTGCCCAAGCATCCTGCTAGGAATAGTATCTGAACATTGCCAGGCCCAAGAACGAGAACAAAATGATAGGTTTGAGGAGTTTCAGTTATTTTTCCAGTTTCTATATTCTCATAACAAAAATATTACCTATCTGTACTATATAGTTGTGTTATTAATTCTATTCTACTCTTCTATTTCTTCCAGAATACCAGGTGCGGTCCATTGCAAGTCATGTCCGTCCTGACAGACAGAGTATGTATGAAAGTTTTTTTTTTTCTGAAAGTTTTATTAAGTCACTGAAACTGCTTTATAAAACAGTCAAGATTATGACAACAAAAATGATCATGTGGGGGCTGAAGTGATAGTACAGTAGGTAGGGTGTTGCCTTGAATGCGGCCGACTTGGGTTCAATCCCTGGCATCCCATTTGTTCCCCCAAGCACCACCAGTACTTCCTGAGTGCAGATCCAAGACTAACCCCCTGTGCATTGCCAGGTATGGCCCAAAAGGCAAAAAAATAAATTTTCTTTAGATCATATATATATATGTATATATACTGGTGAGAACCATAAATGACAGTTCATTTGAGCGGGACTTGATACTAGGATAAACAGATATGACTTGATTATTTTTGTTGATAATAAAAACAAGACCAGGAATTAAATGACTTATCCCAGTTTATTAGTTGGTAGAAGCAATGTCAAGAGCCCTTTTATGAACCATACTGACAACCCATGTCTTAAAGTATGAAAAATAGGAAATTTAAATATAGAATAAGTTTTCTGTAGAGAACCAATTTTTTTTAAACTAAATTTAAAGTTCAGGTGGGCTTATTTTTAAAGCCTGAATATTCTGAATGTCATTAGGAAGCGTACTGGGTATTCAAAAAAGAATGGAATATTTTTAACAGAATCTGCTTTGCTTTTAGCTCTCTTATTCAGTGCAACTTTTCGGAAAAAAATTGAAAAATTGGCCCGAGACATCCTGATCGATCCTATTCGAGTCGTGCAGGGAGATATTGGAGAGGTAAAACTACGCAGGGCTGGGTGGGATCCACAATGTGTTGCTTCTCATGTTAGGGAGATGTAAATTAATATCTTGCTATCGAGTGGGGGCAGAAATATATGTATTTATAGGCAGCAAGTTCCAGCTTTACTTCAAACACCAAGGGAGACTCCAGAGAGAATAAGGTGCATGTAATGCCAGTTAAATCCCTAGCACTACTGTGGCCCGGTTTCCATCACTGTTGTGCCCTACCACTACCAAAATGGGATTGCTTTTTTTTTTTTTTTTTTAGTAAAACAGTTTTTAGAGAAATATGCGGAGTGAGAAAGCTCTAGTGCTAGGAGTATACATCTCTAGATGTATACGGTTGAGATGTGGTCAAATCTTCAGGATAGTCCCTTTGTGGGATTGGCATTTTCAATGATTTTTGGAGGCTGGCACGGCCTGAAGTGGTGTGATTTAGAAGACACACTAGTGAAAGAGTTAAGAGTTTTTCTTCTTACTATATATACAATCTGTGGAATACTTTTCTGAATTGTGATTTGGAATTCAGTTAATGCTGCCATGAGAACTCTTGAAATTGCTTACATATTAATTCCTATAGAAAGTCCCAGGCCAGAGCAATAGTACAGAGTGTAAGATACTTTATTTGCATGTGGCCAATGTGAATTTGATCTCCACTCACATTGAGCACCACTAGGTGTGGCACAAAAATAAAAAGAACTGTGAATTTAACATTTGAACTTTGTCTATTTTTTATTTTGAGTGCATTTATGTGCACGTCATTATAAAAGGAGCAGTAAGGATAGAAAAGGTGCTTTATGGGAATAATGTTTATAGGCATTTCAAAATGTATAGCAAAATGTTGAGATTACAAATTGCTCATATGTATATACACACTAAGTGAGGTGGAGGGACAGATAGCAGTGAATTTTGAGCTGCTCTTCACTTGCTGAAGGAAAGTGGAAGAAGAGGAATTGTTTCTTCTTGATACATGCAGAAATGTGATGTCTGGTCTTTTTTCAGGTGCCATGTCACAATCATCTGGGTTTTTTTGTTGTTGTTGTTACTGTTGTTTTCAGGCAAATGAAGATGTGACACAAATAGTGGAAATTCTCCATTCTGGGCCCAGTAAATGGAACTGGCTGACACGACGTCTGGTGGAGTTTACCTCTTCAGGAAGTGTCCTCCTCTTTGTGACTAAGAAAGCCAATGCTGAAGAGCTAGCCAATAATCTTAAGCAGGAGGGTCATAACCTTGGGCTGCTCCATGGGGACATGGATCAAAGTGAAAGAAACAAGGTCATTTCAGACTTCAAGAAAAAGGACATTCCGGTCCTGGTTGCCACAGACGTTGCAGGTAGAGTATGACATTCTCTGGAGCACTTAGGTTTCTATGCCATAGGGCAATCTGTGTGAATATGTAAGATGTATGTATCTGAGTGGGTCAGCTGCAACACGCCTTTCCGGCTTGGCACAGTGCATGCAGCAGCCACAGCTCAGAACTAACCACAACTTGGAGATTTGAGTACTTTTCTTTGTCTCATTTGTCTCTGCAACAAGATTTCTTGTGATAGAGACTAGGAAAAAACTGAAGAGGCAGTTACATTTTAGTCTGTGATTTTGTGTCTAAATATAGATTATATCAATTAGTTGGTATAATTCACTCCAGATTTGACAGGTTTTTGGTGTTTCATTGAGAAAGGGTGAACCTGGGACTCAAACCCAGAGCCTTCTCCATGTGAATCTTGTGCTCTATCACTTGGAGTATAGTTTTTACTATATATTTTTTTTTTAATGCACAGGGGTTACTCCTGGCTCATGCACTCAGGAATTAACACCTGGCAGTGCTCAGGGGACCATATGGAATACTGGGAATTAACCTGGGTTGGCTACATGCAAGGCAAACACCCTACCCACTGTGCTGTCACTCCGGCCCCTACTTTTTACCTTTGTAGCTGAATTTAAATAGCTACTTTCAAAAACTGGTATTTTCTTCCAGAAAGGTAATTTCTGTGCTTCAAGCCATATTTGATGCTGGTTATAATTTTTGTGGTCGGGGGAGGTAAAGGGGTACAGTTGCTGGAGATTAAACGAGGGCCTCATAATATGCAAAGCATGTGCTTTGCCACTGAGCTACATCCCTGGCCATAATTTAATTTTGTGGCCACACCTGGCAGCACTGGGGTGGGGATATGGGAGGGATTATGTAGTGCTGGGCATCAAACCCAGTTGCTCAAGTATATGCATTCCAGCAGTTTGATGCACCAGCCCCTCTGGCCATAAATTTTAAAATACATCCCTGGTAAGACACAGGCCATGACAGGTGACTGATGGCAAAAAGCATTTGTTTTCCAAGGTTAACTTAGATAATATAAAGAAAGGTTTGGATTCAGTGACTTAGTGGTAGATTCAGTGCCTTCTTTACAGGCTTGAGCCCAAGAGTTCTGTCCCGGGCATAACTGCACTTTACTGGTTGCAGTCTTAGCAGTGCTATTTGGATTCTTGGTGCCTTAATACCCATGTGATCTCTAACATACTGCAACCAAGTGTGTGACCCCTGGACGTTTTAATAATAATGACAGCAAAAATGGGGGAGGTCAGAGAAAGTGAAAAACACGATTTTCTAGAGGGTTACTTGGTGTTTTGAGTCCCAATGCGAAAAAATAAGAGGACTTGGTTGTTTTTTATTTTCAGCCCGTGGTCTAGACATCCCTTCTATTAAGACTGTCATTAACTATGATGTGGCACGAGATATTGACACTCACACTCACAGGATTGGCCGTACGGGACGAGCAGGAGAGAAAGGAGTTGCCTATACCTTGCTGACCCCTAAGGATAGCAATTTTGCTGGTGACCTTGTCCGGAACTTGGAAGGGGCCAATCAGCATGTTTCTAAGGAACTTCTTGATCTGGCAATGCAGGTAAGGGGTTGGATACATTCAATTACCTTAGGTTATAAGAGTAGAGCATAAGGCTGCAAATTTAATCCTTGGTGTTGCTTGCATGCGCTGACCAGTGTGATCTTAACAGTTCTGTTGCTTGAGCAGGGCAATTCTAATGTCTGTTATTGGTCCACAAGTGACTTCAGGCCATACTGAGCCAGATATGTGAGCACCACAACTAAAATGTTGTGAGTACTACAGCCAGGAGTATGTGTGAATTTCAGTAATGGCAGCAACAACAAAGGGAAGCTGGGGAGAATACAAGAGAAGAGACTTAAACATCTGAACTGGTAACAGAAACTTTTAACCAGTAAGGGGAGATGTTTTGGTGGTGGTGAGGTGCACTAACTGCACGTCAGGTATAGATTCGTGTTGCGTGACATGAACATTCATCTGATTTGTCTTCTCAAACTTTTCTCTTGGTAACATCAAACATTGAAAGCTTTTCCTTGTCTAAGTCTATCCCTCTGTATAGCATATTAGTGAGTAAATTACTCTTAAGAGATGACGACTGTTCTCTCTACTGCCCTTCTCCTAAATAGTTTTCTCTTTTGCAGGCCTAAAAATAGGCTATCTTATTAGTAGTAGTTGTAGTAGAATTGTGGTATTTTAAATAGGCTATCTTAAACATAGTATTTATGTTCATAGACTTAGATCTGACATGTGAACACAGCCTCCTCTAGAATTTAAAACTCAGTGAGTCTACTGAATTGAAACCTGAGTCATCTTTGTATGGATATAGTCCTGAAATTACAAGAGTTCAGAATACAACTGTTTCTTCCCTATAACTGGTCAGTTCTAAACTGAATTTTTAGAACTGGTACATTGTGTCTTCTGCATTTCCCTCCAGCTGCCTTAGAGTTCCTATGGTCTTGTGATCAGCCTCCCTGACCAGCACCTATCCCTAATTGGCTGTACCTCTCAAGTACTTCACTTTAGGGGTAACATAGTTGTCATTCGATATGCCAGACACAGTAACAACAAAGTCTCCAATGGAGAAGTTACTGGGCCCGCTGGAGCAAATCGACGATCAACGGGAGGGCCTTTACCTTTACCTTATAGTTGTCATAGACGCTTTAATCACTCCACAGAGGTTTGCATTATGAAGAGAATGTGAATAAATCTGATAAGCAGTGTTCTGGCAGCAGTCAAGGTCAATGAAAGTTTAGTTTTAGGGGTTATATGTTGCTTCTATTCCTGGGAGGTCTGCTTTTAAGAGTTGTTTCAAAGAAATCTCACCTGACACCTTATTTAGTTGTGTTTTCATTTTCCTTTGCTCTTGAACCCACCAATTCTTTAAAAGCTGTTTTTATATTTATTTTTGGTTTTTGAGCTATATGTGGAGCTGATTAGGGGGCCTGGGTCCCAGGCCTGTAAAGTTTGTGCTTAGTCTACTGAACTATCCTTCTAACCTTAAAAGCTTGATTTTTATGTCCAGTTGTCTATATTATAGATTGCTTGAGAAATAGAAAATAATTTAATCAGGTTTTTTTTTTTTTTTTTTTTTTTTTTGCTTTTTGGGTCACACCCAGCGATGCATAAGGGTTACTCCTGACTCTGCACTCAGGAATCACTCCTGGCGGTGCTTGGGTGACCATAGGGGATGCTGGGAATCGAACCCAGGTTGGCCGCATGCAAGGCAACACCCTACCCGCTGTACTATCACTCAAGCCCCAATCTCACCAAAATTTTGAGTCTCCTGACAGATTTGTCAGTTACCTAAGGAAGCAAATCTGTTGTTTCTGTGAAGTTTCCTCTTTACATAACTACATTAGTTAAAGAGGAGACCAAAATCTCTTCACATTTTCCTTTTTAATTTTTATTTATTTATTTATTTTGCTTTTTGGGTCACACCTGGCGATGCACAGGGGTTATTCCTGGCTCTGCACTCAGGAGTTACTCCTGGAGGTACTCGGGGGACCTATGGGATGCTGGGAATCAAACCTGGGTCGGCCACGTGCAAGGCAAACGCCCTACCCGCTGTGCTATCGCTCCAGCCCCTCACATTTTTCTTTTTTAATTTCCTCTTTGATCTCATTCTTTTCCTCTGCCCGACTTTTCTTCCCCTGGCTTAACCTTTTATTGTGCTTTATTCAGAATGCCTGGTTTCGGAAATCCCGCTTCAAAGGAGGGAAAGGCAAAAAGCTGAACATTGGTGGAGGTGGCCTAGGCTACAGGGAGAGGCCTGGCCTGGGCTCTGAGAACACGGTGAGTTGAGAATACACAATGATCATAGGACTGAGTCCTGGATTGGGTATTGGACTCCTGTTACCTGCCAAAGAAAAGGAGGGATACTGTGTTCAATTTGATTTGAATTATTACCATTACTGAATGGCAATGATTCTCAAATGTTGTGACTTCTTGCTGAAGAAACACCTATGTAACACGTAGTTAGCTTACTATGCACGTTGAGAAATCAGTCCAGATTAGCATCACTTCTCAAGCTAATTGTCCTATAACCTGCTGCTAGGAAGACATTGCCAGAGATTGATTTGTCAGTTAGCTGCATCAGTATAATTATACTCAGGGATGGTTCCCAGACTTTAGGAAATCTCGTCAGAGAGAAGAAACAGAGAGCAAGCAGTTATAAAGCAGGCAGCAAGACCTCTTTTATTATGTCTTTCCTGAACCAAGGAAGAATGCTCCCAGTTAGATTTCTGGAGCAGTAGTTATCTTGGTATCATGATCAAGTGTATGTTCCTACATTACAATAGAGATGATGCAGGACTAATGCAGAGTCTAATACTGTGTAACATGTGCCAGGGTCTTTCTAGGCAGTCACTCGTAATCAGTCTTCACTACTACCAGTGGCAGTACATACAGATGGAAAATCTTGGCATCCAAAGTTCACACTGAAACTGAGACTCCTAAGAGCCTGGATTGAGAGCCTGTGCAGTTAGGCAGATGATAGACTGCTTTGTGACCATTGAACATCTAAAAACAACCAGGTTCCATTTCAGCTTTGGGTAAATTGAACTGGTCTGTGACAGTTGACTTTCCTACTTATTCTTTCTACACGGCTATTTTTGTGTTTTGTTTTTAATTTTAGGACCGAGGCAGTAACAACAATGTCATGAGCAACTATGAGGCTTACAAGCCCTCCTCAGGAGCCATGGGAGATCGACTGACAGCAATGAAAGCAGCTTTCCAGGTATGACACAAGCACTTAGCTAAGGGCTTTCAGTAGTAACTCTTGGACAATGATGAGGGGGCACTTTATCGTCCTTAACATAGTAGCTAAGCCTAATAATTTGATGCTGGATTTAGGGCTTTGTCACTGCTTGGATTTTGAATATACACGAAAACCTACAGGGTGTAGAGTTCATTCACCTCAGTCTGGGTCCATAAGATTAGTGATACGGCCTCTTGGCCTCAACAATCTAGAAAGTTACCCACCTCAAGGGTATTGTAATCCAGATGAGATAATTGACCTCTTGTTAGAGTTTAATTACATATCTTTGTGAACTTTAGGCCCATCTCTGTGTAGACACGTTCCACGAGTTAAGATTGCTAGAATCCAGTTAACTAGCCAGACTGAAGTTAGTTAGTACCAAGATTCTGCATTTTATTAATGGAGGAACACAGAAACCACAGGATTTGGGGGCCACTGGGATGATAGTCATGGTGCCAAGAAACCAAATTTCTATTTCATAAGGTTTATCATTGTCAATCTGTTGCAAACTATTCTAGTTTCTTAAACTGTCTTACTCTACTTTTTTTTCTTTCAGTCACAGTACAAGAGTCACTTTGTTGCTGCCAGCTTAAGCAATCAGAAAGCTGGAAGCTCAGCTGCCGGGGCAAGTGGATGGACTAGTGCAGGGAGCTTGAATTCTGTTCCAACTAATTCTACCCAGCAAGGCCATAATAGTCCTGACAGCCCCGTTGCCAGTGCCAACAAGGGCATCCCAAGTTTTGGCAATTCCGGGAACCTCAGCAGTGCCCCAGTGACTTACCCTTCTCCTGGAGCCCAGGGCATCAACAACACAGCTTCAGGGACTACCAGCCGAGAAGGGATTGGGGGTGGCAATGGGAAACGAGAGCGATATACTGAGAACCGGGGTGGCAGTCGTCATAGTCATGGAGAAAGTGGCAATCGGCATGGTGACAGTCCACGTCATGGAGATGGTGGTCGCCATGGAGACGGATACCGGTACCCAGAAAGCAGCCGTCACACTGATAGCCATCGACATGGGGAGAACAGGCATGTAGGAGGAGGTGGAGGAGGAGGTGGTGGAGGTAGTGGAGGTGGTGCTGGAGGTGGAGCTGGAGGTGGAGGAGGAGGAGGAGGCCGACATGGGGAAAGCAGAAGTACAAATGATGGTCGGAATGGTGAAAGCAGGAAAGAAGGTTGTAATCGTGAGAGCAAGATGGACCCCAAGGTGGACAGCAGCAAGATGGACAAGACGGACAGCAAGACAGATAAGACAGCTGATGTCTTTGCTGTCCCTGAGCCTCCCAAACGCAAGAAAAGCCGATGGGACAGTTAGAGGATATGTGCTAAAGGGTAAAATCAATTGTCTTTCATTTTACTTTAAGAGAGATTTTGGTAATTAGGTGTCTCAGGGCTGAGCTGGGGCCTGAGGTATAAGGCCTTCTGCCCTTAGTGGCTAGCTGGAGCCTGGAGCCTGACCTTTTTCATCTGGATCATTTTCCAGATGTTTTCTCGGGAAGCTGCTTGGTCCTTGGAAACGTTGAGAGCTGGAAACCTTCTTTGGGTTCTGGGTGAGTTATGGTCAATTGAGGAAACCTTGGAAGAAAAGGGCCTTTTGACAAAACTCACTCTAGGTTTATATTTTATGTAGCATATATTTTTTACTAAAATGTCACCTTACAAGCAACCACAGATTAAAAATCTTAGCTGTGTGGGAGTTGGTTTCCACAAATCCAGTCTGTTGAGGTGTTAACGACATTGCAGTAAAGGGAAGATGCTTCTTTCTAAATGAACTCATCACGCTCTCCAGCTGAGACGTGAGGTAGCACCTGCCAGACCCAGAGCCTTTTGAAGGGGAAAAAAAATAATCCTGGGAACAGTTCTAGGATTGCTCCAGTTCTAAAGTGCTCGCTAACATTAAAAACAAGACCCAACAGCAGCTTTTTAAGTGTCTTCTATTTCATTGTTTTTTTTTTAACTTGCCACGATGGTAGAAAAATCTTTTGCTGATGATTTTTGTTCTATCTTGTTTATAAAGGAGAAGAAATATACATACTTTGAATTTTGTGACTTTGTGAAGGTTTCTTTAAGATGTGCATTCCTTTCTGCTTGCTCTAGTAAATGTTTTACCACTGGGACCTGTGGATTGTTTGTCATTTCTCTTCACACAGTTAAATATGACTTGTTAATAGTATACTACATAATGTAATGCTCTAATGTTCCATGATTTGGAATTTAAGCTCCCATAAAGAAAATATCACTCATTTTATTCAAGTAATAACAAAGTGGATGGGGAAGAGGCTTTAAGTCCAGTTGCCTCAAAATACATCCAGTAAATACCACTCTGGTGCTTGACCTTTCTGCTACATTGTCATACAGTACCCCACCTTCTCACAGAAGGGTTTAGGCTTCTTAAATTGTGGGTTTGAGGGGTCCACAAAAACATCTTAGCAACCATAAATGGTAGCTGTGAATGCACAATGGTCAAAAATTAAAAATCAACTATGATGAATCTTAAGTATGTCACCAAATGCACACCTGGGCAGCATTTCTCAGGATTGGGAAAGTTTAAGCAGCCCTGTTAAGCCTAAGAGAGCTCAGTTGTGCCTAATGGACCTGCCTCCAGACAAGAGGATTTCCCCTGCCACTTCGGACCACCACAAGAACTCTAGCTTGCCCACCACCTCTGACACATTCAAAGCACACATAGGGCTGGTTTAAGCACAATCAAATCCTCCTGTACCACAGTCCTCTCAGAGGCCCAGCAATGCTGCTCATTTCCGCTTGTGTTTTTTCTTTTGCTCTTTCCGTTGCTGTGCTCTTTGGTCCTTCTTCATCCTTGAATCCACCACCTTGAAGTGACCTCTAACTCCAGCTGGACGCCGTACTTTGCGGCCCACACCTTTTTTGGCCACAACATAGGTGACTTGGCGTTTCTCCTTAAGTCCAGCCTTCTTGTAGAGGCTACAGATGGATAGAAGAAGGGGATTAGGGCCTTCCTGCCACCCTTTCAAATTCCACGTGCCTTTGGGGTGTCCTTCCTCCCACCCTCCACTACCTTCGGAGTTGTGCCACTTTCTCTCGCTCAGAGATGTCCACAGTGTTTACCACAGCTTCTGCCTTCTTCTTGGTTTGCTCCAGCTTCTTCAGCATCTATGCAGAGACCTCAGTCAGGTTAACCTCTGCCCTGACCCCACCCCACCACCCTAATCTCAGCCTTCCCTCTATTTACCCTCCGTTTCTTCCTGGCCTTTGCCTCAGCCACTTTCTTGATGGGACGTGCGTTGATTTCCCGCCAGCGCTTGCGGTAATGCTCCACCTCCTTTTTATCAACAGGCAACTGCCGTATCCTGTGCTGCTTTTCCTCCTGTACAAACCATTCTGGAAGCTCCTCCTCATTCTCATTAAATGTGTATCTAGGTAGAAAAGACACCAGCCCTGATGACTAGTCCAGGCTTTAAGAAGCCCACTTCCCACCCCACCCTGGGCCACTTCTCATGGCTTTCTGGCCCCTTACCTGCTAAAGGAGTTATCTATGAGGTCTCTCTTGGCCTTTTTGGATGATGCGATAACAGCACCTAGAGCCAGACCTTCGGGGTCCAATATCCGGTACTTCACTAGAGGGAAGGAGAAAACCCAAAACTCAGCTCCTGACATTGAAGCTTCCTCCTTCCACACCGCCAGGCTCAGAGCGCTCACCTGGATCCTCAATAGGCACTACCTCAAACCCATCATCAGTAGGCTCACGGCCTCGCTTCTTAGTGCGCGGTGGTTCCCGCCTGTAAAACGGGGTGTCAGTGAACTGATCTCTATGCCACTCAGCCCCTCTTTAAAATGACCTAGTTCATTCGAAATCCCAGGCTGAACTGACACCATTGTCCTTAGCACACTTTCTTTTGTTTTTGGATCACATTCAGAAGTGTTCAGGGCTGGCTTCTGGCTGCATTCTGGGATCCCTCCTGCCAGGGACAGTATGCAGTGCTGGGGATCAAACCTGGATCAGCAAGGCTAATGCCTTACCGCCAGTCCTCTTCTCCAGACTAATTGTTTGTTGGTGTCTTAATAAAACTTCCTATCTACAGTAGTCACAAAAACTCAGCTACAGAAATGGTTCAGAACCTCACGCTGCTGCTTCATCCCTGCATCAGCAGCAACCACTCACCGCACTTCATCCTCACTGCTACTGCTATCCCCGTCGGAGCTGCTGTCTGCTTCCCCTCCAGAGTCACCAGCAGCTTCTGCCCGCTGAGGTGCCTCATCCGAGCACACAGGAGGTTGAGATTTCACACGGGAAGGTGGTGGAGGCTGTGGCTGCCCCTTCCTGCGGCTCTCATTCAGCAGCTGGGCCTGGCTGATCTCCAGGGCTTCATCAGCATCATCCTCAATCCCGATGAAGCCATCCTGTGGGAGAGGAATCTCAGCCACCCTTCTCCTGGCACAGCAAGGCCCATCCTGTCCTGGGACCCTGCCTCTTACCTTTGAGAACCACAGACTGGCCTGTTCTTCCTGCAATACAGCCTTTTCCTCCAGTGGTACCAGGAGTGGATTCTCCTCTTCCTCCTCTGTCTTATCTTCTGCTTCTGCAAACTGTACACTAACCCCAAGGAAGGTAGGTGGAAGGTCAGTGCCCGGAGAACATACTCTGCCTCGCCTCTGGGACCACCTGCACCCACTGTTCCAGTCTGGAGCCAAGGGGTTCCCTCCAGCAACACACCCTGCACTCCCACCTTCTTACCGCTTTTGGCTCCTTGGACTCTGAGGTTTTCTTACTCCTGCCAGCTCCTCTGGGTCCAGGTCACTATCCAGAGATGTGTCGTCGTCATCATCATCGCCATCTGATACATAGATGTCATCTCTCGGCAGATCAGACAGAAACGTGTCCGCAGCACTCATGTCCCCCTGTGTTACTTTCTCGAACAACTGAAGTACGACCGAGAAACAAGTCAAGGGTGCTCTTGAGAACCTTGCTTTTTTCCCAGGTCTTTTACTATCCTCAACAACACCAGGAAATATACTGTGGCAAGAAGGTTCCTTCTCCCTTTACAAGCTGGGAAGAGACAGGGCTGCTTAAACATCCCATTCACTGGCAGCCTTGTCATTAGTGACAGCAGAAAAAATGAAAAGCATCCCAGAGTCACAGTATCAGATCATAAGACATTCAAAAACATTGGCTTTTCCTTAAAAACTGTTCTCAGAGGGTTCCTCATTGCCTTCCAGAGATGAATTCTGCTGCTACTGAATAAAGGGACCCAGATATACATATAACAGGATTATTATAAGCCAACAAGACAACCTCCAAATCTGTTTGTGACACAACTATTATTTCAGTGCTTTATCATATACATGTGATTACACCATCTTTATTTTTATTCCTCACAAAAATTGAAGCAGGTAGGTTTTGTTCTGGTTGTCCATTGTTCTGGTTTGGGGAGCCACACCCAGGGATCACCATGGTGTCATGGACCAAATCCAGGGCTCCTGCCTGAAAAGGGTATTCCACTGCTCTTGTTCTGGACACAAGGAAACAGGCTAAGAATGAATGTGGAGTCACGACTCTAGGACTAAGACACTGGCGATTCCATGCCCTCTGAGCTCCTCCACTATTCGGCAGAAAGCGCCACTCAACGTGCAATCCCAGAAGCTGCTCACTCAGTCTGAGGAGCTGAAGAACACGGTTTCTCTGAGGGAACAATTCTGCTGGTAACTAGGTACCCCGCTGCATCTAGGCAGCCCCAGCCTGACATTCTAACTACACAGAACAACATGACATCACACACCAAACTTCCGGATTTCTATCTGAGGTGCACTCTGCCTCCCTTTACTCAGTCATTTCATGGGTGAAGACAGTAACCATAGCCACAATCATTGAGAAAGCCACCAACCCTTGGGGCTGAAGCGATAGCACAATGGCTAGGGCATTTGCCTTGCACGCAGCCAACCCAGACCAGCATCCCATATGGTCCCCCCTGAGCACTGCCAGAAGTAATTCCTAGTACAGAGCCAGGAGTAAACCCTGAGCATTGCCGGGTGTGACCCAAAAAGGAAAAAATAAAACCAACACCCCACAAGTGGGCCTCGCCTCACCTGATGCCCCTGGATGGTGCGCAGGGAAAACATGCCAGTCTCCCCCTCATCTGCGATGGAGACACCAGGCAGATCCATCTTCAGTTCCACCCGCTCACGCTGCTTCCGCTGCTCACGCAGCAGTTTCTTTTTCTTCCTGAGGGATTGAGTCAAGGCCTGATGCCTGCCCAGCTCTGACAAGCCCCTCCCCATGCCCCCTCCTTCTCGCACCTCTTTAATTCTGCCAACTCCTGGGCCTTCATCTCAGCCAGTGTCTGGTTCAGCTGTTCCTCCTCCTCCTCCTCCTGAGAGGGCTGCCTTATGGCAGACGCTGAGGTCTTCTCGTTGTCATCTTCCTCTTCCTCTCCCGAGCTCAGGCTGTTTGGAAATGGTTCGAAGCCGTTTATCACCCAGACGCTTCTCACCTTGTCCAGGCCACACCCACCCTGGTTTAGGTCCCTCCTCACCTAATGTCCAGGGCCTTGGCTTGTTCCTTCAACTTCTTGGCCATGTACCGCCGAAGCTTGGTTCTCCAATTCAGCAGGGACCTGTTCCAGAAGTACCGTTCCTCACGTTGGCATCTCCCTCCCTTTGAGGTGTGCCGGTTTAGACTCACAACCCAGATTTCAAGGCTACATCATAATGCTCAAACCCAATACCACAGCCTTCTGCACACCTGAGTTCCTTGCGCCCCAACACTTTGATGTCTTGACAGCAGGCGCGGATGTCCTCAGTGGTGGCGGGGTGCTGGGCCAGGTCCTCATCATCCAGCGAGATCTGTGTGGGAGAAGGAAAAGTAGCGTCTCTGGTCACGTTCCTGGAGCTCCCGCTCCCAACATCCCTGAGTTTGAGGACTTGCCTCGCTGGCTTTGGAGAGGAAGTCAACAGGGTTGGTGGCTCGCAAGAAGTCGGTGACTGAGACACGATGATAGAGAGTGAGGTCGCCCTCAGCGTAGCCTTCAGCCTAGTGAAAGGAAATAAAAATGAGATTTCATCAGGGGCCTTCTGTAGGACAACATGTCTGCCCAAACACCTCAGTATTCCAAGATATCCCCCAGATATACCTTTGGCTTCTTTTTAGTCACCAACTCAGTAACCGTCTTGGCCTGCACTTCAACCTCCTTGAAAGCAAACTTGGGGTCAAAAAACTTACTGTCCACCTTGTCCGGAGCCAGAAATCCTACAACACGATGGAGAAGAAAGTGAGCATTAGCATTCGGGAGAGAGAGGCTCAAGAGAAAGAAGGGCACAAGGGGATGTGAGGGGGGGCAGGCACATGCATTGAATACCGTCCACCCCGTTCAATCTGCAGCACATGGTCCCCCAAGCAGCACCAGGCATAGCCCTGGGTGCCCCAGAACACTGCCGGGGTGACCCAGGTCAGCCCCAGCACCTCAGAGCCCTTGCACTGACCTAACCACTGGCCAGGTTAGGCAAGAATCGCTAAGAGCTGCTCTCAGACCCCTGAACACTGCTTGGGAGGCCTTTAAGTTAAAAAATTCAATGAAAAACTTTTCTAAGAAAAGTAGGTTGGAGTGATAGTCAGTGGCACGGCATTTGCCTTACACATGGCCAACCCAGGTTCCATCCCCAACATCCTGTATGATCCCCCCAGCAATGCCAGGAATAATTCCTAAGTTCAGAGCAAGGAGTAACCCCTAAGTATTGCTGGGTGTGACCCAATAAGCAAAAAATAAAGTAAAGAAAAGAGAAGTGAGGCTTACCCTGGCAGACAACAAAGATCTCTGCAGACTCGTGGCGGGAGGCTTGGGGCTTGGTGGCCTGGACTCGGTGGAACAGCTGCTGGAAGATCCACAGCAAGGGCTGGTAGTCACGTGAGCGAAAAACCTTGGTGATGAAGCAGCCACCACGGGCCAGAAACTCACAAGCCAGACGCAGAGCCATCAGTGTCAAGTGGGCTGTGGACAAGAGCCAGAGCGCCTCAGAGCTCTGCAGCCTGGAAGGATGTGCCCCCTCTACAACCCTCATCTCCAAGCCCGCCACTCCAGGTACCCTGAGAATAAGCATCGTGAGCCCAGCTCGCCCCCACATTGGGAGCCCCGTCATTGAGCACGACATCAACTTTCCAGGTCTTCAGCTCCTTCCGCAGGGCCTGTGGAGAAGGATGAGGATTACAGCGCCAGAAACCGAAGCAGGACTAGGACCAAAAGCCTCAGCTCAGGTGGCTGTCTACCCAGTCAGCTGCCGAGGGTCCATTCTGAGCCAAATCCCTGAGGCCCAACAAAACACTTCTGTTTTGTTGAAGCGAACAGGCAACCAGAAAGTTCACCGTCAGGGACTGAAGATCTCCAATCCTCTCACTCCTCAGTAAAAGCTAGAGTGAACACTGAGAACACTAAGGACCTGTCCCAGGCACTGGGCAGATGCTACTCAAGGTACGGTGAACAGGAAACGGGGGCGAAGAGAAGAGGACACGGATGTCTGAATGGGGAGGGGCAGAGATGCGCCAGTTACCTGCTTACAGCGTTCTGTGGTGATGTCTTCCTGGAGGGTCACCACATTGGGAAGGGGCTTGATTGGAACCAGGTCCACTCCTGGGAAAAATCAAACCAGAGAACTTCAAATCCTGCCTCAGACAGGGAGGAGTCCAAGGTAGAACAGAGGGTGTGGGGGTATGGCTGAAGATGTGTGAGCTCCTATCTTCCATCCCCTGCACACCATTCCCAAAACAAAACAAAACAGAAACCCAACATGCAACACAGGGAGTAAAGGGATTAAGGCACTTGCCTTGCATCCTTTGGATGCATTCATATGGTCCCCTCAGCACATGGTCTCCTGAGCACTACCAGGGCTCACTCCTGAGCAGAGCCAGGAATAGCCCCTAATCACCACTGAGTGTGGCCCAAACACCAAAAACATCAAAACCAAACCAAACTAGCACAAACTGCTGCAACTAAAAACAAAGAGCAAGAGTTGGAGACACAGCACAGGGGCGATCCCAGGTTTGATCCTCTGCAGGGAGCTGGTCCCCTGACCCCCACCAGGATGGATCCCTGAGCAGAACCTGGGGCAAGCCCTCAGCGTCACCAGGTGTGGCCCAAAACAAAAAAAATAAAACCAAATTATTGTTAAAATCCCTGCATATTTTCACCCACTAATACATAAAGAATCACTTGTCACTCACCCACAATGAGACTGGACACGGGCATGAATTTGGCAGCCACCTGCAACCTATGAAGAAGGGACAAAACAAATACACAACCTGCACCCAACTCACCATCCAGAATCTGAGGTCTCTCTCTGTGCTGGATGTCAGGAGCACCTGTCAAGTGCAGTGGCCAAGGCACAGGCTGGCACACATTTCAAGCCCTTTCCCTACACTCAAGAAAGGAAACCACCGAGCACACATCTCAAGCCTTTTCCCTATACCCAAGAAAGGAAACCACCGAGCTCCAGACAGATTATGTTCTGGGGAATGAAAACACGCAGGGCATTCCCTCTCCCCCAAAGTGACTCTGGAACATAGAAAGTTGCTCTGTGGGGCGACCGTGCTGGCCGACACGTACCATCCTCCTGGCGCGGCACACAGGTCCAGCAAGGCTCGGGCTTTCTGCAAGAACTGAAAGCGGCGATTGAGCTGTATCAGTTTGAAAGCAGAGCGGGAACGGTAGCCTGGAGACGACAAGACAGTGACGTCTGCGAAGGCCTTTCCAAGCGGGACTTCTGAGATCCTAAAACCCACCACCCCAGGACCGATGAGATAGTGGCGGGTAGGGGGTTTGCCTTGCACGCGGCCGACCCGGGCTCGATCCCCGGTACCCCATAATATGGTCCCCCGAGCACCGCCAGGGGTAATTCCTAAGTGCAGAGTCAGGTGTAACCGCTGAGCATCGCCGGGTATGGCCCCAAAACTAAAAACAACAACAAAATTAACAACCCACCACCCGTTCTGAGCCGGAGGAGCTGTATACTCAGGAGGACGGGCGAACCGCGCACTAGTGCTCACAGGAGACGTTGAACACCACTCACCCGTCTCCTTCGCCAAGTGATAAAACTTGTCCCGTCGGCTCTTCCCGACTTTGCCTTTCTTGCCCATGGCAGAGAGGTGTCACTCAGTCTGAAGACAGAAGAAGACGGAATTTCGCTTTCCCGAGCACTAGATTCTACTTTCCGACTCCAGACCGCAGTAATCACGGTCCCAAGTAGGCTCACCCGACTCAGCCAGGAAGCGCCACCCGGGGGAGGCACGTGTAGAGAGAAAACGTACTTCCGCTTCCGCTTGCGTCGCTTACGATCCGGCGCACCGTTTTTCGCCATTTTGGGCGTGGCCTCAACGTTCCTCGATACTCCGCCGGTGTAGCGCTCATACATTTAGAAAATGCGACTCTTGGCGGGAGGGCACTTGAAATAAAAACTGCGTTTCTAGAAAACACTACCTAGGACCTCGACCTCCTCCAAATCTTCTAACCTTCCATCGCCCACACCACCCCACCATCATGGCCTCCGGTTCCCGACTCTCCGCACACTCCGCCCATTGACCCGGAACTCTTCGCCGGGGTCGGGGGGCCTCAGGCCTGCGTTACTGCGCCTGCGCGTCCTGGCGGCTAATGCCGGCGGTCTCCGCTGAAGCGGGAAGATGGCGCTTGACGGACCAGAGCAGGTATGGATGGTGGCGGCGAGGGCCGGCGGGGAGCGGGACTGGAGGTGGAGCGGCCGTGATCTGAGGTGGGCAGTCGGCGAGGACACGAGTCGGCTGAGGAGGCGAGGGCCGGCGAGTGGGCTGGGCCCGGCGGGGCCCGGATCTGCTGTGTCAGCGCCGCCCCGGCGGGGCCCTGCGGGGCCGGGAGAGGAGGATGCGGTGCCCGCTCGGGTGCGGAGGGGCAGGCCCGGCCACGGGTCGCCGCCGCCGGCCTCACGGATCGCTGCATGGTGCTGCCCTGGGCACAAAGCGCCCTCGCGCCTCCCGAGGGGCTTCGGGGGTGGGCAGCGTCTGTGCCGCGCGTGCCGGCTCGGGATGACTTGGTGACCAGCCTGTGCCTCACGGACACTGTCCTCAGATGGAGCTGGAAGAGGGGAAGGCAGGCAGCGGTCTCCGCCAGTACTACCTGTCCAAGATCGAAGAGCTCCAGGTGAGCACGGGCTGCTGGACTCGGGGAGGGGGGTGGGGGGGACGGGCGGGCGGGATTCCTCTCGTGGGCCCTGGAAGCGGGAAGCCAAAGAAACAAAGTATCTGGCGGTGACGCGCCCCTGACCCCGCGCCCAGCCCTTCAGGTGGTCAGCGTTGAACTTGAGACCCGGCTACAGGAATTGCTTCATTGTTTCTTTGGGTCCTTTTATTTGTGGTCGAGAAGACTAACTGGCTTTGAGATTCAGCAGAGATGATGTGGGCAGAGTAGAAAGGAAAACCAAGAGAGTGTAACCTAGACAGCCGCTGGGGTGGGACTTGTCCTCAGCCCCCCGACCACGGCCCCTTTCACCTGGCCCCCTTGGGCCCCGGTCACTCCATTTATGCTATTTTCCCCTTGAAATAGTTTCCATTGAGGAATGCTGGTCTGACCTAAAGAGGATGCAGGGAGAATGGAAAATAAGGGACATAAGAGAGTGTTGTGAATTTCAGCTACATTTGCAGCTCTGTTACCATTTCTGAAATGCTTCTGGTTGTTGTAACTTGGGAAAGGAGGCTGTGTCAGTGATGTTATATCCAGCCTTAGCTGTGCCTAGCTGTTAGCAGTGAAACAGAAACCACACTTCTGCCTCAGCAAGCTTTCCACAGTTGTATGTTCTGCCCTGCCAGGAGTGAGCTGGCTATAAGGATTCTCCATTAGGGTTTGTTATTCCTGGACCAGCGCTGGACTCTCAGTCTTTTTTGGTGACTGTCAGAGATCCTGGAGCACCTCTTGGAGTATATGACAGGAGGGCTCTTAGGCTCATTGCTGACCAAGATCTAACCTCTGCTCTTTTCTCTTTTGTCTTACCCTCTGCAGCTGATTGTGAATGATAAGAGCCAGAACCTTCGGAGGCTGCAGGCACAGAGAAATGAGCTTAATGCAAAAGGTGAGGGGCAGCTTGTGGCCGACTGCTCAGATCTCCCTGAAGTGGGCCTCGGTTCATTACTTTTTGAAACCCAGTCCAGAGTGATGCTTCATACTTCATAGCTATTCCCTTGCCTCCCTGCCAGACCCCGTAACTTCCTTAAAACACGGTTTGGACTGTAGAGCTTTCAAACGGGGCTTAGTGCGTGAGCCCTGAGTTGACTTGTTGAGGGAGGGGACATCGGATGTGGTGACCTCTTGTCTTTCCCATCTAGTTCGCCTGTTGCGGGAAGAGCTGCAGTTGCTGCAGGAACAAGGTTCCTACGTGGGCGAAGTCGTCCGGGCCATGGATAAGAAGAAAGTGCTAGTGAAGGTACGGGCAGCCCATCCCAGACACCACCACACTCCCACCCCTTTGCAGACTTGCAAGGACACAGTCACAAGTGTCGTTAGGAAGCTCAGTTCTTCCTGGGTGGGGTAGGTGATGTGACTGTCAGAGAAGTCACAATCCCTTCTTTCTTTAGGTACATCCTGAGGGCAAGTTCGTGGTGGATGTGGACAAGAACATCGATATTAACGATGTGAGTGCAGAGGAGATAGAGGCTGGCGGTGATTGTCCCCGCGGCACTTCCTGAAACACTCACCCCTCACGCAGGTGACACCCAACTGCCGGGTGGCCCTAAGAAACGACAGCTACACTCTACACAAGATCCTGCCAAACAAGGTAGACCCACTGGTGTCTTTGATGATGGTGGAGAAGGTGCCAGACTCCACCTATGAGATGATCGGGGGGCTGGACAAGCAGATAAAGGAGATTAAGGAGGTGATCGAGCTGCCTGTGAAACATCCTGAGCTCTTCGAGGCGCTGGGCATCGCACAGCCCAAGGTGAGGAGCTGGGCTTCTGTGGGAGGGCCGGTGTGTGGGTGACTGCAGCCTGCTTCAGCCTACTAGAGAGAGGCTAGCAGCAAGCTGCTCGTGGGCACCAAGGCACTTTGAATGCAAAACTCCAGGGGCTCTTGGACATCCTCCTCCATAGCATGAGGACCTCGCACAAAGTGAGCCCCTGTCAACGTCCATTGACGCATAGGGCTGAACCCTTGTTTCTGTCCAGGGAGTGCTGCTCTATGGACCCCCTGGCACCGGGAAAACGCTATTGGCCCGGGCCGTGGCTCATCACACAGACTGTACCTTTATTCGTGTGTCTGGCTCCGAGTTAGTGCAGAAGTTCATCGGGGAAGGTAGGTGACTGGCGAGCAGCCTGAAAACCAAGTGGGTGGGGGTAGGGGGGGTGGGAGGAGGCACATTCGCCCTGTAACACTAGTGTGGCTCCTGCTCAGGAGCGAGAATGGTGCGGGAGCTGTTCGTCATGGCCCGGGAACACGCGCCGTCCATCATCTTTATGGACGAAATCGACTCCATTGGTTCCTCTCGGCTGGAGGGGGGCTCCGGAGGGGACAGTGAAGTACAGCGCACCATGCTGGAGCTCCTCAACCAGCTGGATGGCTTTGAGGCCACCAAGAACATCAAGGTAAATATCACGTGGTGGGCCATGGAGGACACACAGGCCACGGGTGGGCCTGGCTTATGCCACTCTGTTCTTACACTCAGGTGATCATGGCCACTAATAGGATTGATATCCTGGACTCTGCGCTGCTCCGCCCAGGCCGCATCGACAGAAAGATTGAGTTCCCACCCCCCAATGAGGAGGTGTGTGGTGGGGCGGGGGCAAGCTCCGGCTCTCAGGTTGATTGTGGGGTCTGAGGCCCTTCCTCTTCGTCTCCAGGCTCGGCTGGACATTCTGAAAATTCATTCTCGGAAAATGAACCTGACCCGCGGCATTAACCTGAGGAAAATTGCAGAGCTTATGCCAGGAGCATCGGGGGCTGAAGTGAAGGTAACTGGAGTGCCGGGGGCATGGGGCACAGGCGGGAAGCCCCGACCGGGGTCAAGGCCCGTCCACAGCTGTGCTTCCTTTGCCCGCACAGGGCGTGTGCACAGAAGCTGGCATGTATGCGCTGCGGGAACGGCGAGTGCACGTCACCCAGGAGGACTTCGAGATGGCCGTGGCCAAGGTAGGGCCTCTCTGCCTGGATCTGCCTGCCCGGTTTTCGGGGCTGTGGGGCCTGGGCCCATGCCCCCTGGCTCCAAACCTGATTCTGTCTCCCTGCAGGTCATGCAGAAGGATAGTGAGAAAAACATGTCCATCAAGAAGCTATGGAAGTGACATGGATGCCCTTCACTTCGTTGGCGCACTCAAATAAAGCTTTGCTGGACAAGTCCTCTAGGGCTCAGTCTGTTCGCGATGGGCTGTGATGTTCAATGACCAGGCCGGGTACCGCTCATAAACAAAAGATTTATTTGGAATTTCCAAACCTGCCAGAAGTGGCCCTTGCCATGCCCTGGGCCCACACTCCTCGCCACTCTCGGCCAGGCAGTGACAATCCTGCCACCTCCCCACTGTGGGCTGCCCTTACCCGCCACCAGCCTGCACACCCACAGCTTGGGCCATGCTCAGAACTGAGGCTCACAGAAGCTGGGGAGTAGCCCTCCGGCACCCCAGGAGATGATGGCGGCTAGAGCCGCTTGCATAGTTGAGGAAAGAAAACCAAGATGGAGGCACCAACAGGGCTCCCTGAAAAACCCCAATCTACCCCTGTACAAAAAAAGTGGCTCCCGCATAGAAAAACCTGTTCCCCACATAGTGCAAATACCCAAAGAAAAGGAAAAAAAAAAAACCCAGCAGCAAGGCTGGACTCGTAGGAATGGCAAAGAACTTTGGTTTTAGAAAGGCCAGGAAGAACACGAGCTGTGCCCCTCTTCCTCTGCCCAGCTCCCCAGCCCCAGAGGGGAATCTGTAAACAAGCAAAGCCAGTGGCTTTGGGTTCGGAAGCGGCTGATTCAGCCCGAGCACAACCTCCAGGAGTCCCACTTGGGCCTGCCTGTAGGGGGCAGGAGGCAGCTGGTGCGAACCCAATTAAAGCCAACTGCAAAGTAACTAATAAGGCTTCAGGGACCAAGCAACAGGGAATCCTATCACTACGTGTATGAAACTAAAGCTGGGGGGCAGAGAGTAATGGGACACAGCCCTCACCCCATCCTTGTCCTATGCATCTGTGGCCCCAGAGGGTGGGCCCTTTCCAGGCTGAGCGGGGAAAGCAGGGGTCCCTGAGCAATTAGGTCAGGCGAATTCCCAGCACCTGTTCCAGTTCCTGCCTTCGCTGCTGCACCTGGAAGAGAGCGACAGTTGGTTGGTCGCCGTGGCTCACCCCCCGGGGAGGGCAGCCAGGGTCGAATCTCACCTTAGCAAAGATGTGTCTCCCCACGGCTTCCTGGGCCCAGGGCTGGTGATAGAAAGCGGCTCGCCTCTCCTCCTCGGGATTCCCGATGACATCAGTGATGATCTGCAGAGCCAGGAGAAAAGCTGTGGTTGCCAGCCCCCCAATTGCCAGCATAGGACGGGGGGCGGGAGGGGGCTCAGTCTCAGAAAGGAGGGCTGCACCTTGAGGTCTCGGCGCTGGGAACGGAGCCATTCCTGGATAAAGTCCTGGGGGTCAGTGCTGAAGCTGAGCATGAAATCCCTCTGGGTCTTCAGCTGGTTGATGGACTCGATGGTCTCATGGATCTAGGGAGAGAAGTGTGTGCCACTGGCCTCCATGCCCAAGGGCTCCAGATAGACTGGGACGCTGGGGAGCAGAGGGCCTACCTTGACATCCAGGGAGGCAATCTCTTGCTGATTGGTGGTAGAGGCCAGGAAATTGCTCATCTGGGCCTTGAGGGGGTCGTCTACCTCCACATCGATGTCATAACAGGCTGTCTTCTTCTGGTCATTGGGGTCCACACTGTAGGCAGCGTGTGAAGGATTGTTTTGTTTTAGCTCAGACTGGCAGGTGCCAGCCCTGCCCCGCCCTGCCCCGGGCCAAGCCCATGATGGCTTCAGATCAAGTCCCGAGCCTCCTCCCCTCCTTCCATCACCTAATGACATGGTTGATGACAATGGGGTCTGGATGCTGCAGCAAACCGGCCAGCTTCATGGGAATCTCAGAGAAACGAAGACGGCCACAACTGAAGATCTGGAGAAAGTACCAGAAGCTTGTGATGCCATTGAGATTTCAGAGGAAAGTGTGAAGAGGGTGGCCCCAGACAGTCCAGTGGGGCTTTGGAGCAGCGGGCATGGTAGGGCTGAGAGACGAGTGGGCTGGCCTCCCACCTCACCTGGCGGAAGTAACGGTTGCAGTTGATGTACTCGCGCTCGTGGCCGTCCTGCAGCTGGTTGTGTTTGATGTACAGCCACAGGGCCTGCATGATGGCAGCCCTCGTCTGGGTGTGCACCCCCAGCAGCCTTGCCAGTCGGGGGTCCAGTTTGTACTGCGGAGGCTAGGGTTGGACAGAGGGGTCAGAGGGAGTTCCTGAGAAAAGCCAAAGGAGTCCCAGGTGAGGACAGCTGTTTCATTAGGTGGGCCCCGGGCATCTGTCACCTGGTGATCCAGCATGAGCAGGAGGGTGCACTTCACATTGAGGTCTCCCGGTCTCTTCACCTGGAAGCCATCCGTCTCCTGGGTGGTGGGCATCCGGTGCCACTGACAGAGAGACCAGAGCTCGTCACCCACCGGGCCACGCCTGCCTCCTGGCCTAGCTGTGCGCGCCATCCTTGGCTCCCCTGGTCACAGGCCCATGCTCACCTCCACCAGGTGATTGTCAGGCCCGTAGAGTTCCTTGTCCAGCTCAATGACGAGGCTCTTAAAGAAGGAAGAAAACTTCCTCTTCTGTTTGCTAGGCTGGGGGTGGGAGAGGGAATGTAGGATGAGGGGGTCCTGTGGAATGCCCAACCTAAGCGAGGCCGAGCCCCCAAATGAGAAGGATTGTTTTGTTTTAGTCTCAAAGCTCGCCTGAAGGCAAGAGGGGAAAGCAAGAAACTGGAGGGAAAGGCTTATCACGGCCAGTAATGGACAGAATTAGAAAGGGTTAGGGCTGGATAGCATAGCGGGTAGGGCGCTTGCCTTGCACCACCCGGGTTCGATTCCTCTGTCCCTCTCGGAGAGCCCGGCAAGCTACCAAGAGTATCCCGCCGCATGGCAGAGCCTGGCAAGCTCCCCATGGCATATCCGACATGCCAAACACAGTAACAAGTAGTACAATGGAGACTGGTGCCCACTCAAGCAAATCAATGAACAATGGGAGGAAAGTGCTACAGTGCTACCCCTTCCCAAGATGCAGTACTGCCCTCTGCAGGAGCCCGGGTGAAATGACCAGGCATATCCTCAGTCCCAAACTGGCGACCACCCTCTACCACTCCCAAGCACCCAATGATCTAGCCCTATTTTCGTTGGGGGTGAGAGAGGGAGCTGAAGGGGCCATACCTGGCAGAACTGAGGACATAGTCCTGCCTCTGCACTCAGGGATCACTCTTGTCAGGGCTCGGACCCCTCTGTGTACAAGGCAAATAAATGCCCTACCCCCTACAGTCCAGTTCCAGGCGCTATCCTAAACCGACACAGGTATCTCCCCTCAAGCACCTCCTTCCCAAACTCACATCATCCAGCAGTTTCCCCTCCACTCGGAGCTCCCAGGAAGCCACCTTGTCCCCTGCTGGGGTTCCGCCGGGGGTCCCTGCAGTTCCTGTGCTGTCACCTTCCACCTTGCTGGGACTGAACGTGTTGGAAATATAGATCCGCAGTTTTCGTTTTTGCTAAAGAAAGGAAGACAGGGAAAGGTGAAGCACAGTGTCAGGAAGTCATGGTGCCCAACGCCACCACCTCCCAGAGGCATCTTTGGAGGCACCAAGAATCAGGCATGAATCCCAGTCCTGGCCTTCAGGGAAATCTCAATTATAAGGGACTAATGCATGGCCACCAATCCTGCCAACAGTTATCAGGCAAATCAGACCTCTGGCTCACTTTTTGTTTTGGGGGGCCACACCTGGCTGTGCTCAGGGACCATGTAAAATTCTGGAAATTGAACAGGGGGTAATCCTGTACCCCTTAATCCCTATACTATATATCTGGCCCTTTAAATAAATATCCTGGTCCCCTGGGAAGTCTGTCACTCGGGACTGTTTTACATTGTTTTTCTCTTTTCTTTTTTTTGAGCGACACCCAGGGGCGCTCAAGTGTTACTCCTGACTCTCCACTCAGAAATTACTCCTGGTAGTAAATGGGAGATCTTATGGGATATCGGGATGGATCTCTGGTTAGCTGTGTACAAGTTCCTCAATTGCTGTACTATTGCTCCCGGTCCCTGTTTTATATTCTTTGTAAAAGGTGGGAGTGGGTTCTTCTCTAGAGATGGGGAGAGACAGAAATGTATGTAACAACCAGGCAAGATTCTGACCCAAATACATAGAATTCACGCCTATAATCATGACCCAACATCCATGTGCATTCAGAAATGTCGGAAGCACTACCTTTACCATATGAAGCACTACGATGACAGGTACTCAGCTATCAAGTATTATTTCCCTCTTTTGGGGGTGGGGGCCATGCCCCACAATGCTCAGGGGCGGTTCCTGGCTCTATGCTCAGGAGTGACCCCTGGCGGTGGTCAAAGGACCATATGAGGTCCTGGGGATCAGAGCCAGAGTCACACCTACCACAGCTGTATGCAAGAAAAATGCCTCCCATCCTGCATTCTCTCTGGCCCTACAAAATATTACAGTTTCCCTAAATACAAGTTAGGGCCCCCTCCCCTAGAGATGGCGTTGGTGCTGCAGAATGTCCCCGCAAGACCAGGCCAGGGACAGGCAGAGGCTCGAGCAGGAGGGGGTGGGCCGCACACACCGTCAGAGGCTTTTTGATGGCCTCCTGGATCTCCATCCGCTTTCGAGCAATGGTCTGGTCCAGCTTCCTCTCAAAAGCCAAGAGATCCATGTATGCCTGAGACTCTGGGACAAGTTCCCGAATCTGTAGGAAGGGAGAAGGCATGCTTCAGTTTGTTCGAGGGAGGGACCACCCACAGCCTGCCCCAGGTACCGCCCGCACCCCTCCCACACTCACGCGCTGAGGTAGAACCTTGTCTGCCATCTTCCTCCTTTTCAGCCTGAGAGGACAGAAAGCCACTGAGACGACAATGGTCCAAAGGACCCTCTCCACCCCACCAGGCATGTTCCTCAGACACCGCACAGGGTAGAAGAAAACCTGTGCCGCCAGAGCTGCGATGGCCAGCGGGAGGGCGGGGGATCGAGCTATCTTACCCCCGGCGCTGGGCGGGCATCGGGGGCTGGGCCTGGGGCACGAGCAGGCGTTTTCGGAATGGGTCCATCATGGTGGGTGGCATGCCAGGTCG